GAAGCTCTCGCCTCAAGAACTCACAAAGAGAACTAGGCAAAATTTAGAACTCACAAAGAGATTGATAAGTAGAAATTTCCTTCATAAAAAACTAAGTCATTACAATACATGATGCCTCATATAAGGAGGCACCAAAAATAATAAAACTGAAAAGACAGAAACGCCCTCTGGGCTACATAAGCGAAACAATGCCCTCAGGGGCAAACTAGGAAAACTAAAGAAAGTAAACATGACATAAGCTGTAAATAAATCAGAAATAGAGACTCTGGATCGTAGCCGTTGATCTGCGCCGCCGGCGATGGTACACGTGTTGAAATCTAATGTCCCCATCACGTACGCCTCAAAGAAAATTATGCAATAATGCTAGTGAAGCGCGCCTCACTCCACCTGAGGCGTACGCCTTATGATGCATGAGAATTGCCTAGGCTTTGAGGCTATTTGGAGCAAATTGTGCAAAGGTGCGCCTCGAGACGCGCATCAGATTGCACAATTTTAAACTATGGTGTTTAGCATATATTAGTAGCAAATTTGACTTAAGATTTAGAAATTTGCCACCGCAAAATCAAAGTGCGTGGTGGGGGAAAGATGCTCGATCAAGATCCTATGGCTCTAACATCCTTGGTTGTCAGGCCAAAGCATTCTTGTCAGCAGTCATGGGTTGCATTGTCCAAGAGGAGTTGTTTGTCTATGAAGATGAGATTAAGTTGACCTTATCTAACATATTATTTTTTGTGCCCTATCATACTTGCCTTGTGATTCACATCTCAAAGGGGTTTAAGCTATTGGGGAATTTGCCGGCTTTAGTTATGTCTGTAATTTAATGGTGCTGTTTTGCGGTGAAATTGTAATGCCTCATGACGACCCATATCGGTTGAACACGAAGCGTAACAGAGACATGTAGCTTGGGAGCCATTGCTGATGCTCCTTTGTCCTCTTCCTTTGCTCTAGTAAAAACTTCAAGCTCTTATGATCAAACCTGATTATGAAATATCATCCCAACAAGTACGGATGCCACTTTTGTATGGCTAGCACGATCACCATCAGCTCCCTCTCATAAACTGTTTTGAGCTTGCCCTGGCGGTCATTACCTAACTGAAGTAGGGCACTGGCTTTTGATTCTACATGAGCATTGCTCCAAGTGCATAACCCGAGGCATTCATCTCCATTAACATCTAATTGAAATCTGGTAATGCTAGCACCAGAACTGTATTCATGGCCTTTGTCAACTGCTCGAAGTCTTTGGTTGTTGCTTCCCTCCACTGAAAGCTATCCTTCAACTGTCTTGTCATTGGCCCAGCTATCGAGCTGTTCCGTTTTACAAACTTTCGATAATATCCTGTGTGGCATAAAAACCCTTGTTTTCCTTGTGTCTTGGGTAGAGGCCACCTAAGTATGGCCTCAATCTTGTTTTGATGCTGCCACCCTTCCTGAGACACGGCATATCCCAATTTGATGTAGGCAGGGGGGGGGGGGGCAATTGGGGGGGGGGGGGGGCAATTGATGTGCCTTGGCTTTGGGCTGCTTTGGTTCCTAGGTTTGAGCTTGGTTGTCTCGGGTTATGCTGCACCTTTGGTGAGCTGCTGTGTTCTTCTACTAAATTCAGCTCATTATGATGCTATGAAGTTCAGCTATCATTTCAGCTCATAATTGGGGTTGTCCGAGTTCATCCCCTCTTTGTTTGGCCTTTCGGTTTCTCTGCCTGGCGCCTGTTCTCGCGGCTGGCCATTCCTGTTTCCCGCGTGACCTCTCGGGTGCTGCTCCTGGCGCTGCCTGTTGGCCTTTTGTCTCCCTTTTTTCTGGTTTTCTCGGTTGGAGGTTGTTTGGGTTGTTTGGTTCTCTTTGCACCTATAAATATGGGTTGTTTTGATGCATGAAGAGGTTGTTTTTGGTGAGTGAATTGATCTAAAAACCTGAGGGTTTCTTGGGAAAGCTTGCGAGCTTCTTTCACTTCTCTTCTCCTCTCTTCGATCTCATCTTGGGGTTCTTACCTATTTCTTATCTCCACAAGTTTCCACTCCACTTGTATCTTTCTTCTCAAGCTATTGGACGTGTTGGTTGGCCGGTTTGGTAGCATTTGCCAGAGGAGTTTTGTGGTGGACGTTGGCCCAAAGTTGTTGTGGACCCTTGGTTTGCATGTCCTTAAGCACTTATTTTTTTACCTACTATTTCGTTGCATGTGAGGTGACCACTAGTTGATTGTTGTGAGGGTAGTTTGTTTTCATTTTGATTTTTATTTTAAATTTGTATTGTCTAACTTTTGTTTGTGTCAAATTGGTTTTTGATGTTAGCTTACTTGAATTTGAATTGAGAAAGTTCTACTAGCCATTGTGTTCTCAAGTTTTGGTTTTTCTATCTAGTTGTCTGCATCAAGACTTGATGCAATCCAAATATTAGGAGAACTAAGATTGCATATAAACTAGGTCTTCCTTTCCTAAACAACAAAATTTAACAATATAACATGACAAAGCAAATTTAAATAAGACAATTTTAACTTTCATATTAGAAGGACGACACAAACAAGCATAAAACACCTAAACAACACATACAAGCATAAAACACCTAAACAACTTTTAGATCGCTTGAGAAGAAAGATACAAGTGAGGTGGAAATTTGCGGAGAGACGAAGTAGGTAAGAAGCCCAAGACGAAATCAAAGAGAGGAGAATAGAAGTGGAAGAAGCTCGCAAGCTTTCCCAAGAAGAAACTCGCAGGTTTTAGCTCCAAAAATTACTCCATAACTCTCTCTTTTTTAATGCCACAAAACATCCCTTATATAGAGGAAGAAAAGGTAAAAAAAGACAATTAATATATATATATATATTTAATGCACCTTAAAATCAACCAATAGAATTCCCTTGAAACCGCAACAAGCAAGAACCGAAGGGGCTGCCGTCTGGGGAAGAAACAGAAGCATCAAAACAGCCTCAAAAGTGGGGGAAACTCGAAGCATTAAATGACTCATAAAGGGGAAACCAAAAAGGCATATTTTGGAAATTAAAATCGGCATGGGGAACACCAAAAAGCCTCTTTTGCATATATCACAAGTACTCCACTCTAGGTTATGTAGCAAAGCATATTTTTTAAGTTATTGAATAGTTGGTATTCCCTTAAAAGTTGCCAAAACAACTGTTTGATGATCTAAGTGCTCCTCCTTGGTCTTGCTGTAAATCATAATATCATCCCCAACTTTTTATTCCTTAACCCCCCCCGCTCACGTATGGTTATGATATTCTCTCCTTTGTTCCCTCTCATATGTCTCCCTTTCTTCAACTTCAACCCTCCTGAATTCTTCATCTCCATACCTCCACATGCCATAACCTTCATCCCATTCCTCTCCTAGGTGGTGGTCCAAAAGATTGCATCCTTTTCCCTTCCCCTAAGATCTCTACATCGTGATCATCCCTCTGGTTGTTGGAATTGCATTTCCCCTATTAGCGCTTTTGCCTCTGATGCTGCCGGTTTGACGCGAAGATTCAACATATTCTTCATCATCTCTTCTAGGTTAGAAAATTTATACTCCATTGATGAAGTTCTATCCTCAAACGTTGCTTTAAGTTGGCCCACTTCTCTTTCATGACATAGGTCCCAAATTATGCTTTAATACTAATTTGATAGGTATACGATCTCCAAACAACAAAAACAACAATAACAAAGAGAAAATGCAGCACAAATCATCGAGAAAGTTTCTTATTTCAGCACAACAAACCAAGATACAAGTTGATTTATTATTCAAGAGGTAGATTGGCTCTCCACAAACCCCAGGCGTCATTGGGAATAACTCCAAAGAAGACTACAGAAGAAACACAATCACATGATCGAAATAAAACAACCTAATTACCCTTAAATAAACCTTCATATTTTCCTCCCAAATCCGAATTTAAATCAGCCATCTTTCCCAGAACAAAACTTTCATAATTCCCTCCTAAATCTAAATCTAAATCAGCCCCCTTTTCCTAAATAAACTTACCTAATTCCCTCATAATTTTAATTTTCAATGTTAAGTAATTAAAGGTGGAATTATTCTTCTTTGAGCCCTTCTCTCTTCTTGACCGCAACTCACCCTTGTGGGGCCCACCGGCTCAGCCGCCCGTCCGTGATCGTTTTCATGAAGCGAGCAATGGTTGGGTATTTTTTTTCATGTGGGAAATGTATTTCAAATTAGGTTTGCGCGACAATGTGTTCATCATTCATTACATGAACCCTTTTCTTGATGATTTGATGCTCAAAACCTTTTGGTGCAGTACATCCCGCAAAACAAGGGACATTTGAATAAATTTCAATATTTGTGACTCGTTTTCAAACCATACACGATGTCACATCTTTTGGGTGTCATTTCCTTTGCACTTGATTGAGTTGATTTATAGGGCAAATAAGAAAAGTTAACATTGAAGAAATGACGTGGATCAAGTCTTAAGAAAGATTCACGTTATAGTCTCAGAAATGTTCCTGTGTGAGTTTGTCGTATACTGCATCTAAATATCCGCCTAGCTCATGCTGTATATTAGCCATTCCGAGTGGCTCGGAATGTTAACAATTCCATCCTTTCTTTTAGAATGCTTTTTCCTACATGATTTTTTTTTTTTTTTTTTTATGAAGTGCAAATTTTTTTTTTTTTTTGATCTTTCAACTACATTTGAATGTCGTGGAGATGCTATTAAACACTTAGAAATTGATAGCCATTTTGGGACTACATTATTAACTTTGAAGGTGTCAATTATGCAAGTTTAATTGCATTGTAAAACAAAATTCAAGCTAGTTTAATTATTGGAGCTGTGTTGGTGCTGTGTGACAATATATTATTAATATCGATTGGTTATATGGTGAAAAAATGGAGCCTTTATTCTGTAGATAAACTATGAGATGAAGTGCAAATAACAATAAGATGCACTATTAAGACTAGTGCCTAACTAGATAGTTACATCACACATGCTTCCTTTTGATGTAGCTCGTGATTGCTAACTTTGCAAAGGATAAAGCTTCTAATCTTTGCATCTTTGACAGATTCAACCTTTTCATTTCTTCTTGAGAAATGGAGGGAAAACTTGCCCCCTGGTTTCATGGTTAAGGAATCTTTTGTTGATCAGCCATTCGAAGAAGACATTTGTCGTTGTCATTTCACATTTATCAATCTGAACAGTGATTCTGAGTTGGTCCTTAAATACCAATGGTTTGTTAGCGAAAGGACTCCTACTAAATTTGAGGCTATTGCTGATGCGGTTGAAGATGTATGTTATATTTTTGTTTAACTAAGAGTAGCGTTGTATTTTTTTTTTTGCATTTCATAAACAAGATGATGTTCATTTTTCATGACAGGCATACTGGCCAAAGCGTGAGGAGGTTGGGAAATTCTTAAAGGTTGAATGCACTCCCATACTAAAGGAGACGGAGTATCCTCCCATTTTTGCTATTTCAGCGCCTGTTTCTCCAGGTATTCCAGCAAATGCATTAATTTTATTTTATTTTGTATAGTTATGTGTTTTACTTGGTGAACACTCAACGTACCATGAAATAAATTCTCAGCAGTCTTAGCAGTCTTCTAGGATAAATTTTATAATATCAATTTTGACTCTTGATGAATCTTTAAACTGCTTGAAGTTCTTATTATCATACTATAGATTTTGCGGGAGGGTTAGTGAATTGAAAATTCTTACAAAAATGCTTACTTGATGTTATTGAAATTAAATTTCAAAAGTCTGCTCTTTTTCACAGCCTTTTATTTGTTAACTTTCTAGCAATAAAATTGTTCTATGATCAAAATACTAACGGCTTGATGTTATGGGGACCAATCAAGATGATATGGAAGTTGAGAAGGGGACTTCCGAGAGGATATATAATTTTGCCTAGAAGTTTCCGAATCAAGAGCAACTCTGACGAGATGATTTCGGGGCAAGAGGGGTGTTCAGAAGGGACCTTGGGAAAATTCACGAAAACCAAATGCCAAGCGTGGAGAAGTTGAAGAGCCATTCTTTTTGTGCAGTCATTGATGGAGGATCACAGATTGGGTTTTTGGTATTGGAGTAGTTTTGAAGAGCACCACGGGTGCATGGTGTTGATGAAGAGAGGCTATAAGAAGATGTGACCATTTTGTCCCTAGAAACCTCACGAAGGCAAGAGGAAACCAAAATGTCAACCAAAAACAGCGAATTCTCGAAATGGATTGGCCAATCAAGCCGTGCTTCTTCAATTACAGATGATTTTGATGATGGTGATGTTGAGCATGTTGTTTCTAGCGCAAAATCTTGTGAATTGGATGAAGTCAAGAAATATATTTTTTTGAGAAAGTTCTTGTTATTAAGACAATGGGAAACTAGTGAGAGTTCTGGCAGGCAAGAAAATGACTTAGAGGTGATGATCAAGCCTTCTTTTAGTACGAGACATCAATCCTTCAAGTTAGAGAAAATAATTGACATTCCTACTTGAGCAATTGATCCAGAGAAGTTGAATTCTATTAGGTTCATTGGAGTTCTACTTTAGTCTTCGTGGGTATGCTTTCCAAGATCATATCTCGCTTGATAGAAGCTCACCAAAAACACTTGACTTGGTGGAATGCTTATCTAAGATATGTTCATCTAGATATCTTTTGGAATCGTTTTAAGAAGATACTTCACCAAGAATAACATCCCATGGCATACAAAGAGGAAAGATGGGAAAATGAATCGGGTTACCTTTTGGGGTGTAAACAAGCTTTAGCTTTATTGAGCTTAAGTTTTTTGCAAGAAGTTGTTTGGCATGGGTTGTGTAAAGGTGCAAGAATTCGTATCCCCTTTAGACTTCCTATTTAACAGAGAAAATTAGTTGAAGGAAGGCCAATTTAAATAATAAAAAAAGAACCATAACAATCCCGCTTAGGCACCAATGTGCTATAGAAAATCAGCATGGTATATGACATCCGAGGAAAAGTGGTATACTTTTGGAGAGGAGCTTTGATGTTTGCTCTCTTCTAGCATGATTCACAGGAGTGAATCACTTCCTAAAGAACAACTTATAAGATTTAGGTAAATCCTAGAAAACCAATTTCTTACAGTCGAGAAGTCAATGTCTCCAAGTGCTAGAGAGCTTGATAGCTTGAAGATCCCAAGCAAAGTTTGAAAAGGACTTTGTGAAAGAGATTGACTCTTGGCTTAAGAAGATCGTTGATTGATAATTTTGATCACAAGTTGGTAACCATAGTTCACTATTGCACCATTGATAGTGGATGCCATATCCTGTAATTTTCTCATTTACGAGTCATGATTTCCTGTAATAAATACATGACATAGATTATTTTCCATAAATTAGTTGTAGCCCATGTTGTATTGATGTTCCCTATCTTAATAAAGGGAACTCAGATGGGAAAAGAGAGTAGGCCCAAGTCTTCTTCTTAGGAGATTGTTTGTTATGCAACGAGTTTTCGGGCTTAAGAGTGAGCGTGGAGTTGGAGAGCTAAAGAGAAGGTTCAAGAGCTTCTTCCTAATCGTATGTTACTTAGTTTTCTCCATTAAAGAACCTATTTGAATGTTTTGGGGGAGAGTCAGTGAGAGAGGTAGCAACGAGTGACTGTTTGACGAGGGATCTTTGATTTGCCCCGTCCAGGGTGAACTCCTTTGTAGGCTCAGGCGATTAGAGCCCCGCTAATATCCTCAAGAGAATTTTTTTGACGACCCTAAATGAGTGCTTCGAGGAACACTTTTTGGAGTATCCTCATTATTACTCGGTTGTTATCTATGAAAGAATTTATGAGTATACATGTAGAATTTGATTCTCTCAATCATGGAGGCTTTGCTGAGTCTTCACTAGGTTTTAAAAATCAGATCAGATCGACTGGTTGAACCTGGAATCGGTTGGTTAGCCGGTTCGGGCTTTTAATATGATCGGCTTTGATTAAAATCGGAGGAAACTTTGTGGAACCGGTGGTCGAACTGCTTGACTGGCAAATCGACCCTAGTTCTCCAAAATCGGATTTTGAAATCCCTATTTATGTATTTTATTCTCATTATGTTTTCCTCATTTCACTCCAACCCTATCTATCTCGACCCTGTTCATGTTCCCGTTTCAACTTCCATTCTCGTCCCCATTCGAAGCTTCTCATACGTGAAACAGTGGTGAATCTTCAATCCTCACCGGCCTGTGAAGCTTCTCGCCAATTTAGGCATCCGGTCATCCCTCCTTGGCTCCTCGTGTAACGATCTCCATCCATTTGGGAGTAAGATTTCTTCAAACAATTTTTTTCCTCAAATTTGAGTATTTTTTAGTGCTTTTCAAACGTGTTTAGTAATGTTGTTTGTATCATTTTGGCATGCATGCCATGCTTTTTCTGGTTTAGGGCAAAAAATTTGAGAACCCTAGTCTCAAATCTGAGCATGTTTGATGATCTCTCCTTCAAATTTGTTTAATAATGTTCATTTTTAATTCATTTTAGTGTCCAATATGAGTTTGGTTTGAAGCTATAAGCAATTTGTCATGAATGTGGAAGTTGTTGGCTTACATGTGCTACTTATTTTATTCAATTTTTTCTGAAGTTGGCATCATCAATGTCTACTAACATCAATATCATTATATTTGAGTAGTTATCTTTTGATAAGGATTGAAAAATTTGATATTACACGTCTCTCTAGATTGTTTGGTACTGTCCAATTGAATTTGCATTACAAAAGCAATTGGATATAATTCTAGTTCCTTGTTGATGTTTCTGTTTAAAGTTAAAGACATAGTGTCCCGATTTGTAACTCTCTAAATGCCGGGACTTCGATACTGTTGTGATTTTTTTTTTCTGGTAGAATATATGGGAATGATTCCTCGTGCGATTTTCAACCTGTAATGCATGGTTCTTTTTGGATAATTATCATGCTTGATTGCATGCAATTGGCTCTTTGGTTAATATGACTGTGAATAAGCTTGCCTTTTTAATTAATGCCTGTAAAATTCAATTCTTACTTTAACCAGAAACTTTTGCATCTTAGATATCAACACAATGTCAAAGATCTATATAGATTACTATTTTGGTTTGCCCGGAAGTCCTATTGATTGCTTTGCAACAAGAACTGCCTAGGTAGCAGGTTCAAGTGCCTTCCTAGAATTGCCTATTGAAATTTCATAATTGTTTATTTTGTTTGCCACAAAATTTAATTTATTGCATCATTATCACATAAAATATATATTTTTAAAATAAAATTAGTATTTATTATGTCACTCAGTTCAACCTCGGTCGAACCATTGAACTGTTAATCTCTCATTTATCCAGTTCTTTGTTCGGTCTGGTTTTCACAACCTTGGTCTTCCATCAAAATTATCTTTGTAATCTTTCATATTATTCTTGGTGCTTATGCTCCTCAAGTAGGTTTGGATATGAGTTCTAAATTAAATTTTTGGAATGACTTAAAAGAATTAATACAAAATATACCTATTGAAGAAAGAGTTTTTATTGGAGGAGATTTAAATGGACATGTTGGTAGAGAGGTAGATGATTTTAAAAGCATTCATGGTGGCCATGGATTTGGAACGACGAATGAAGGTGGCAAGACCATATTAGATTTTTGTTTAGCTTATAATTTTTCAATTGCTAATACCTTATTTAAGAAAAGGAATGAGCATATCATCACTTATAAAAATGGATATAGTACAACCCAGATTGACTATTTTCTTATTAGAAAATTAAATCGTTTAGATTGCAAAGATTGTAAAGTTATTCCGAGTGAAAATTTATGTACCAAACATCGATTATTAGTTTTAGACTTTAAGATAAAGGGGCATAAAATAAAAAATAAAGTAAAACAATTTTCTAGGATTAAATGGGGGCATTTAAAGAATATTAACAAAAATATTTTTGGAAATAAAATTTTAGATCTTAAGATTTTGTCTATGCATGAGGATGCTAATGTTATGTGGGAAAAAGTGGCTAGTGATATTAAGAATATTGCAAAAGATGTCCTTGGAGTATCAAAGGGAAAAACTCCTAAGTAGTAAAAATAGTTTGGTGGTAGAATACCTAATGTGCAAGAAAAAATTAAAAATAAGAAGCTTTGTTATAAAAATTGGTTTTATTTTAAAAATTATGATAATTGGAAATATATAAAGTGGCTCGTAAGGATACTAAGAAAGCAATATGCGATGCAAAGGCATTAGCTTTTAGTGATTTATTAATAGATTAGATACTAAAGAGGGAGAAAGATATATGTAGAAGTTTAGCCAAACAAAGGATAGGAGTAGTAAGGATTTAGTTCAAGTGAAGTGTATTAAAAAGTGAAGATCAAAAAAACTTTTCTTAGAAGATGATATTCAACAAAGATGGATGAGATATTTTGCTAAACTTTTTTAATGAAGTTTGTGAAAATAAGATTGACTATAGTGACTTTAGCACCCTAAATGAAATATAAAGATTTATGCTTTTACGGCGTATTAGTAAACTGAAGTTAGAGAGGCTTTAAAGAAAATGAAGGGTGGAAAAGCTGTTGGACCTGATGATATTTCCAATAGAGGTGTGGAAATGCTTAGGAGATGAAGGAATTTCATTGGCTTACTAAACTTTTTTAATACTATTTTGAAGACTAAAAAGATGCCAGATGAGTGGAGAATGAGTGTGTTAATTCCTATTTTTAAGAATAAAGGTGATGCACAAGATTGTGCGAATTCTAGAGGTATTAACTGTTAATGTGTCATACTTTAAAACTATGGGAGCGAGTTATGAGAGATAGGTTGCGGGTGATACTAATGTTTCTCAAAATCAATTTGGATTCATGCCGGTAGGTCGACTATGGAAGCCATACATTTATTAAGAGGTTTGATGGAGAATATAGAGAAAATAAGGAGGGATCTACAATATGATATTTATTGATTTAGAAAAAGCATATGATAAAGTTCCAAGAGAAGTGCTATGGAGATTTCTTGAAAAGAAAGGAGTCAATAATGCTTATATTCAAATCATTAAGATATGTATGCAGGAGCTATTACTTGTGTTCAAACACGAGGTGGATTGACCAAGTATTTCCCTATTTCGGTTGGGTTACATCAAGATCAGCCTTAAGCCATATCTTTTGGCTTTAGTCTTGGATGTTCTCACTAGACATTTGCAAGAGGATGTACCTTGGTGTATGCTTTTTGCTGATGATATTCTTCTTGTTTGATAAGACTAGAGAGGGAGTTGAACGTAAACTTGAATTATGGAGGTCAACCTTAGTCTAAAGGTTTTCGCTTGAGTAGATCTAAAACGGAATATATGGAGTTTAATTTTTTGTAGTAATAGACCTAGTGAGGGGATTGTGACTTTGGGCGATCAAGTCATTAATAAGAGTACACGTTTTAGATATCTTGGATCTATTGTTCAGATTGATGGTGAAATAGATGGGGATATTATTAGCAGAATTCAAGTTGGATGGTTGAAGTGGCGGAATGCATCGGGCTTGTTATGCGATAGAAATGTACCCCTCAAATTTAAGGGAAAATTCTATAAGATGGTAGTGAGGCCTGCAATGCTTTATGGTGCCGAATGTTGGCCATTAAAAGAGAAGCATAATACTAAGTTAAGTGTGGCAGAGATGAGGATGCTCAGGTGGATGAGTGGCTTTACCCTTAGAGATAGGATACGAAATGAGCATATACGTGAAAAGGTTGGAGTAGCTCCAGTAGAAGATAAGATTAGAGAGAGTCGCCTTAGATGGTTTGGTCACATAAAACGGCGGCCTTGCGATGACCCGGTTAGGAGAGTAGAGGTATTAGATTTGACTTATGTTAAGAAAGGTAGGGGTAGACCTAAAAAGACTTGGTTAGAAAATATTAGGAATGACCTTTCTTTATTAGATTTAAACGAGAATTTGACTTTTAATAGGACACAATGGAGAAAAAGGATTCATGTAGCCGACCCCACGTAGTGGGATAAAGACTTGATGATGTTGTTGTTGTTGTAATCTTTCATATTATTCTTATGAATAATAGCTATATTTTCTATATTTATGTTTTCTTTATTTTGTCTTGTGCAACCTCTTCATTTTTCAAACCCTTCTGATAAGCTTGACCTAGTTGACATATTTGCTCTAGCCTAAGTTAGGTGATTTTTCTATATTTAGTGAGTAGTGTATGTTGATTTGATTTCTGTCTTAGAATATTATTCTCATTTTTGTCTGCTGAATAAGAATAGATGAAAGAGCTATCCATATTAACAAAACCTACAATGGCTTCTATTCCAACAACCTTATTCTGTCGTCTCTGTTGGCTGCTTTGATTGCATCATACTTTATTTCAATTCTTTAACAATCTGGTTTCTTATGCGCACAAATTCTTAATTGACCATGGCTTTCCTGCTCTTCAAATAATTAACTTGTGGTTTGTTAAATAATTTTTTTTTTTGCATATATCTTAATTTTGCTTTCATATTTTGGATGCCCTAAATTGTAGAATGTACTTGATTTACACATGGTAAAATTACCAATCTTTACTGAAGTCATCTGTTGCAAGGCTTATGTCGTAGTTCTCATTTTTAATACAATCCTCAAGCCTGCTTTTCTTGGATTTTTGAAATGGTAGTAATATGCTAAGTAATCTTTAAATCTCAAATTCGTGTTTTGCTTATCTTGCAATTATTATGCTTTTTAATTACCTGTGCTGATTGCAATTTCATGATCAGGAACTGGGTGCCCGAAAGTTTTAAATTTAAATGTGCTTGGTGAACTTATTGAGGGAAATGTAATAAGGGGTTCTGCTAAGATTGCATGGTGTGGAGGCATGCCAGGAAAGTGTGTATCAAGGTGATATTTTCGCCCTTTTCAAACCTTTCTTCATTTTACTGCAGTGATGCTTCAAAACTTTCAATTGTTGGTGCTAAATTGAAGGAATTTTTATTATATCCGATGTCCAGTTGGTTGCGAAGAAGATGGAATAGCAGTCCAGTGATAATTGTTGGAGCAGAAAATGAAGATTACCTCTTGGCTGCCGCTGATATTGATTCAAGCTTGGTTTTCATGTATACCCCTGTGACAGAGGACGGTACAAAGGGGGAACCGCAGTATGCCATGACTGATTTTGTAAAAGCAGGTATATACTGCTCAAATTGTCAATCAGCCTCCTTGCTTTTTAGAGGGTACTCATCATTATGTAGGAAATAGTTGGCATGATCCAAGGCTAAATTTTGGCAATTAGATTTGGTCTAATGCAATGCTACACCTAATTCTATATAACATTAATTATGAAGCCAAAATACAGGAATTTGATGCGTTATGTTCACCACAGCTCCTTGTCCAAATGCTCTCCACAATTACTTGCAAAAAAGACAAAAGCAAAGAGAAAAACAGTGGTTAGAGCCGCTATTAATTAAAATAAAAGCAATTGAACATGCAATTAAATTAGAAATAATATATTTTTTTCGGGCTTCTTTATAGGAATCTTTTGATTTTGCTCTTGAAACTTCTTATTTGGAAGAGACTTGTATAATTTTTGAACTCATCCCGAGGCACAATAAAGGGGTGAAGAAGGGAGAAAAGAAGAGGTTGAGGGAGAGAAAGAAAACTAAATGCCGCTGCACTCCCTCTTTTATAATCAATATCCCTCACTCCAAGATTTATGTCTACTTCACACAACCGTTAAAGGATGCAAAGCACTTCACCACACCTTTCCTCTCTCAAACTACAATGTGTGACTTATTCATGCATATTCTTTTGAATCACAAAAATGTTACATCGCTCTCCTACAATCAAGATCCACCAAATACACACATACACCTCTTACTTGCAATCAAATAATCACTTGTATAAAAAGAAAGTCACTCAATGTCATCCCCACTCATAGCTTTAACTTGATGCATATGCCAAATACAAATTGTGTAAAGGAAATAAATGCAACTTCAATTCTTCCAAGAATTCGTATCCTTCCAATGTATACATGTATATTTTTTTAGATACCAAGTGAGCATCCAACACTTCCCCTTAAAGCTAAGGTAACCATCACAAAGGCACTTAAGATATTGCTCTTCTCTTAATGAGCAATTTATGTCTTTCAAGACATTCCAAGCTCTATGATCTTTGATTGGAAATCTAATGTTTATCCATTAATCAAACTACTATCACATATGTATAAGAAATAAAGTAAGATTGCTGCCATCAATCGGGACATCACCACATATATAAAAGAAAGAAAATAAAGAATGCTATTCAATCATTGAATTTTCATCCTCATCAATTAACAAGAAAATCTGTATATAATGGGGGGTATATTGACATGAAGAAAGATTGCATGCCTTCCTACATAATACTGATCAAAATGTGTTGGAGATATATAAATCCAGCCAACCAACAATCTTGAGATCTGAAGAATTTCTTATAAACCTTTTACTTACTCTCAAAAGTATACACATATATGTGTATATGAGAGATCTGATTTTGCATATGTATGTTTTAACGGAAGAGAGATCACTCCATCCCTAGCTTGTTTCCATACGTTCAAAAAAGGGAAGAAAAACATGAAACAACATGCTGATTTTTTTTTTCTTTTAGGAAGAAAGAAATCAATTCCAGCGAACTTTATTAAATTTTAGATCAAGAAACGAAGCCCATTATGTTATTTTCCATTTGCTTCAAGAAGAAAGAACGAAAGCAAATGGCTATTCTCAGCTTTAGGAAGGAAAATAATTAGCATCACTTCAACATTCATCGATTCATATTCATGAAAGAACCCAACAAAACTAATTTTAGTATTTCCTTTGGTATATCGTAAAGCAAATCAAATGGACATTTCAGCATCTATAAGTAAAATTCAGCAAACTTTTATCTCCAAAGAGGAAGGGGTTGAGATTATTTTCAAACAAGCAAAAAAGGAGATCAAGAGGAAGATTAAGGAGAAGGAGAAGATTAAAGAGAAGATGAAGAGGACTGAGAAGAGAGAAGAAGAAGAAGAATAGGGAGGAGAAGAAGGAGAAGGACAAGTAGGAGAAGAAGGAGAGGATGGAGAAGATAGAGATGATGGAGAGGACGGTTACCTATGGAGAATCGACCGAATGGATAGCTCGCATCCGCTCTCTTCTTACTCAAATCACACTCCGACTCTCGCACTCCCGTCCGCCCTTTCCCTCTCTGTGAATCGCTCGGGACACACACAACAAGGGGACTGAATGATGATGCCGTCCAAACAACCCCCTCTTATTAACCTAAAATTTTCTTGAATGAAAGAATTACCATCTTTGCCCTCTCCTGATTTTTAAATCAAGGGTTGAGATAAATTCTTGCTTTAGAGAGTATTTGTGAGATTAATTTGAAAACGATGTTGAATTAAACTTTAAAAAATTAGATTTTTGAGTTTAGATGAATTCAATTGAATGTATTCAAGATAATCAACATTGATTTAATTTAGGTTTGGTCTATTTTCTTTAAATTGAGTCAATCAATGCCGTCAGCCTTCAAATCACATCCGAATTGACTCGATTTTGCTCGATTATATGTATTTGACTAAAAACCAATTAAATTTTTGTTAAATTTGGCCTCGGGTTGAATCAACTCGACAAGGCTCAATTGAATTTATTTTATTATTAATCACATTAATTTTAATTAATTTAGGTTTGATTCAACTCTATCTAATAATCGACGATGACGCCGAGTTCAATCAGGCTTGAATTGAGTCGAATCAGATTCGACATCATCAAATTTAGTTTATGTGATCAAATCGACTTCAATTAACTCGAATAGGGTTTAATTTTGATTTTAGAGAAGGGATCATGAAATGATTTTGCTTGCTCTGCTTAAAACGAGGTCAACAATAGAGAATATAAAACTATTGATCAAAACATCAATATGGACATTTATATTCATTCCAAAAAAAAATCATATACACTACTCAGGATCTATACAATCATATTATAACTTTTATGTCATGAGCATGGATCCCTATGAGGTGGCTTGTGATGAAAGAAATTCTCCTCATTGAACTACTCTCGTTCGATCTCTTTTCCCTTATATTAAACCAAGGGCATCCCAGTCAAATCTTGGTTAGGGTTAGCAATTAGAACCACCAGTGGAGTTTTGGATTGTATCTCCATAAGCTTCCTCATCATCTCCTTCAACCCTTGAAATTGGCTCTCCATTCAATTCTCCATGGCTAAAAACCTTTTTTCGATGGTTGAGAACTTTTCATCCATTCGGGATTTGATTTGCTCTACTTCGCCTTAAAAGGCATCCACCTTCTTTGCTGTCATTTCTCCAAAACCTTGTTATGATTCCAATTTGATGCATCTTAGAAGTAAAAACAACAAGTATATAAGAAAAAAAAATGTAGGAACCAAATATTAGGGCTGGTTTTTTATTATTTCTTCAACAAATAATGAAAGATACAATTGATCTATTTATTGAGTGGTAGACTGGCTATCCACAAACCCTAGGTGCTACTAGAAACAACTCCAATGGACAACTACAACAAACATAATCACATAATGACAATAAAATCACCCAATTAACCCAAATATAAATCTTCGTACTTCCCTTCCAAATTTGAATTCAAATCATCCATCTTCTCCTAAATGAACTTTTTTTTAATTCCCTCCCAATCAAATTAGCTATCTTTCCATAAATAAATTTTTCCTAATTTCCTCCCAATCAAATCAGGCTTCTTTCTCTAACTTAACATTTCCTAATTCCCTTCCAATCAAATCAGCCATTTTCTCTATATATACCTTTCCTAATTTTCCCCCTTAATTCCTCCTCTTCACATAATGAATAATAAATTCCTTGGGCCCCACAAGGGCGTATCAAAATTATAGCTAATTTTGGTGTTATGTGTGATGTCATATATTCAACTGGTACAGATGTATTCTTATCACTCTTAATAGCCTTCTCATTTTCCAGGTTGTGAAAATCTCTTCTGCTCAAGTAGTCTCAGGTTATTTCTAAAATTGGAGTCATGATGAAATTCTAAACTATTAATGAATATGTTGTGGTCGTAGTTGTCACGATTCGGCCCGAACAATTTAACTAATGGGGTGGGACTGACAGTCGGATGGGTGTAACATTTCATTCAATTTCATAAACAATTTAACATTCAACTTCTCAATACAAATGAAGAGCCACTATTATAAAATTTTCTATCAAACAACTCATTAAATCTTTCATATACTTAACATTATTATAAACCATAGATTATCTGCTTGCATTTGTAAGCTGTCTTTTGTAGACATATTCCTCTTTTCTTTCAGCCATTTTTATTTCTCTAGAGACTTACCTGAAAATATTAGTTTAATTGATTGAGTTTATATGATATACTCAGTGGATAATATTTCTATATGTATAACAGTTACGCATGTTTAAAATACAATGCATATAACATTTTATATCTGTATATTTATATAACATTTAATATACGTGTTTTTCTTTTTATTTCATTCATTTATACATTTACTATCATATACCTTTCATAACAATTCAACATTTATTCATTTTCCAATTCAATTAGGACATGAACACCGTCTAAATGTATCAATATATGTATAATCATTTCCATTTTCATTTAACGTACACGGGTATGTTGCTTCCCAGTCAGTATCAATATGGGGGTGAACTGTAATTTGTATGCATATCTTTTTTTTTGTTTTTTCATTCATTCTCTTTATTTCATTTATGTTTTTATTTATAATTTATAAGTTATTTCATTTTTTCTTCATTATGTAATTGTATTTTTATATGTATATAATTATCATGTATATATAAATACTTTCCAACTTCACTTTCTATTTCCTTTAGGTGAAATTTCTTTCACATATTCATATACTTTCATATTCTTATAATATTTCAGTCATTTTCGGTTATAAAAATTTTTATTTCAAATTTCCTTAATGTTCAGATTCATACTTTGGTACATTACTGAAAACCTAAGAATATGGCACGAAATTTGATTAGAATATTAAACTACAGCTTATAATTATGAAATAATAAAGGTTCTAAATTGATCTTATGTGATTTCATATCTAGAGAAAAATGAAATAAATATATAGCCAAAACCTTGACTCATTTTTCTGTTTGAAACCGACGTCCAAGTCATTGCCTAAATCCTGCCTGGCTCGGTCTCATGCAAAATTCTGCTCAGTTTCTTCACTCCAACGTCCCAACTTCCTTTAACATTTTTAAAAATTAAAACTAGGGCTATCCATTTAGTCAGGTACAAAATATGGGTTATGTTTATCTTATCCCAAGTTGAGTGTACTTGAAGTCTATGATTTGTCTCCCTCTCAATGAGGTGTGTAGACGGCTTCGTTCTCCCTCTCAGTTGCGTGTGATCAACCTCACACTCTTGCATGCACTCGCTAGCCGCGCTAGCATCATTCTTGCTTTCCTTGTGTCTTCCTTTGTTTTTTGCAGCTCAATCTTGCTTCTCTTTGGACGTGTTTGTTCTCCCCTCTTCGTCTCCTGTAATAAGCGAGTCACCTCTCTCTCTCTCCATCGTTGTGGATTGCTCACTTTGTTTGCTTGACCGACTGCCCTTTTGTCTCTATGTATTCACGGAATTGTAGCATAGTTCCATTCAGCTGATGCTGTCAGTTCAATTTAATTGATATTTTTTAATAATAAAATGGGTTCTTACAAAACTCGTGTACATAATGGCCAAGAAATTCACGTATGACTGCAGGCCTTGCTTCTTAATATTGCATGTGTTTCGGAATGCCTATATATGCATTGGGTTTTCAAATATGTATAATTAGGCAAACTAAGTCTTTAATAACCCAAGTGAACGATTGAATTTGCTGTCTATTTTAATTGAAGACTTATAGGCTGACTTTTCTTACTTCTTGTTATCATATAATGTATGCAATTCATTGTAATTATTGCTGGAATGATCTCATATCTTGTTTTCCCTGAATAAACTTCAGTTGGTTGATCAGTTTATATCCCAGTCTAATTTTTGTCTATTAATATATGATGTTTTATAAATTACTTCGGAGTTTTTTCATGTGCTCATCGAATATGGTTTGCATAATTGTTGGTTTACCACCTATTCTCATTCATCCATTTCTTACTTTACTTTACATGCATTAATCTTGACGATCCGACATGTCACTTATCTTTGGGTTATTTGCATTCATATGGATGCATAAATCAATAAGCGACTGTGGTTGCAGCTGCACCTTCAGTTAGTAATGTAAGAATTTTGGGAGATGCTGTTGAAGGAAATACAGTCAAAGGAACTGGAGAATACTTTGGTGGGATAGAAGGACCAAGCAAGTTTCAATGGTTGCGAGAAGATTATGAGACTGGGTGAGTGTCTTTCTTCTTGTGAGCGTTGAATTTAATTTCGATGTTGCCATTTCATTTCACCTGCAGTTTACTGTTTGAAAGATTGTGATCTCCTTGTTTTTTGTTATTGGCAATCATTTAGTATATAAGTACTTAAACCTTTTTTCAAATTTGATTCAACTTTTAAAATTTTAATTTATTTTTCTAACTTGCTCTCGCATGCACTCTATAATGATTGAAGTTTCACTAGCTATTCTATAAGTCAAGCATGCTTATGTTGGGGCTTTTCTTGAATGGATAACCTGCCTAGCATGCACCAATTAGTCAAAACTGAAGCCTATCTGGTCTAAGGGGAGAATATCTAGATTGTTAATAGTTCGGGTTGTTACCCATATAATCTAAAATTTGATCTTTAACTAAGTTAACGTGTTATAAAAGCATCACATAGTGCCATTTATTGCAAGAAGCAAGTAATAGATTGTTAGTTCTAGAATGGATAAAGCATGGTGTCAATACAATTGTGGCAAAGTACAGGGGCTTGCGAAGTGTTTTCTTGGGCATTCAGGAAATTATATTAAAAAATCATTTCTTTGTATAAAAAATAAGAGAGTGAATGAGAATACCCCTCAGATATATTGTGAGAAAACCAAAAGTTGGAATTTTTAAGTTCTTTTCTGATGTAGGCAAGAAATGGGTATTTATTGGTGGGCTAAATTTTTCATAATGGGCTTGGCCCATGTTCCTTTGGATGCTTGGTGTTTTGAGTGTTGTTGCTGATTTTTGGGATTTAATTACCTTTATGTGGCTCTCTTTTCCTGCTTCTGTACATTCCGGGTTCATTCCCTGCCTGCTTGGGCCATTCTGTAAAACCCGAAAACGACGATCGTAGGTGTCGCACGCATTTTGATTCGCTGCAACCAAATTTAAGTGAAAATTCAAAGTTAACGGATTTTGACAGAAATAATTTTACAAAATTCTAAGAAATTTGGTATATAAAACTTATAGCTAATTTCGCTTAAATTTGGAATTAAAATTAATATAAATCTCATAATACCCAAACTACCCCTAATCATTTCTAAAGCCGGGATGATTTAAGTGGGGGCAAAGTGGTTATTTGGCGATCACTATTTCCCTAAGTAATGAAGATCAAACCCCTTCCCACATTTCGATCGTTTTGTTCGACCCAAATTGAGAGAAGGCGGACAGAAGAGGCGAGGAAGGGAGAGGTGACGGGCGGCTCCGTCGACGATTTCCGACAAGAAAATTTGTGGAAACGTAGAGGATAAGGGAAGACTAAGGTATGCACTAGAATCTACATTTTCCCTCTTCTTTTCTAGATTTTTGGAAGGGAAAATTTTAGGGTTTTTCTAAAAATATTTGATCCTTCCAAAATTTTTTTACGAAATCAATATGGAAGGTTAAGGAAGATATTTTAACAGTAAAAATGAAGTTTTTTTAAATTTTATTGAGATTTAAAAATTAAGGTTTTTTCTAAAAATTAAAATTTTTTAAGTGCTTTCACAAAAGTGATTTCTATGGATCGTAGGAATGCTTCTAAAACAAAATTTTGAGTTTTCTTAATAAATTGCATTTTCTTTATTTTTCTAATTAATTAAATCCGAAATTTAATTAACCTAATTATTAATTAGGTTTAAGAGAATGTTTGGCTTGATGATTTGATAAAATAAATGAATTTTGGGTTTTCAAAAATTAGGGATTTTAATAAATCCAAAAATTCAAATTAAATTATGTTAATTTCATTAAGCATAGTAAGAATCAGATAGCGAGAAATGAAGAGTTTAGATAATTTGGAAATGATTAAAACTTTGAGGAAGAATTATCGGTGACACTTTTTTATGTGTGATTGTTAGGTTGTGATCAATAAGGGGAGCGACACGTGTCAAAGCGACATTATAGGGAATTGTTATGCTTGTGTTAAGGTTGGTACTCATATCTCTTATAAAAATTTCATATATATTATTTTGCTTTTTTTATTCAATGCAAATCTTTAGAGTTTTCAAAGTTATATGGTTTATGAATTTTATTTTGCAAATAACATGTTAGTAGAATATCTTTATTTCAATATGTTTGTAAACTTAAATGTTATGATTTAATTTGTGATTTTCATATTTGAAGCTGATGATTTATGAATCATTATTGTTTTTCATTAAGCATATAATTAACTGAAAAAAATAGATTATAAGTTTATGATATGAAAATGTGCATGTTGATGCAGAGTGCCTAAATGGTAAAGGGGCTCTTCAAAGCCAAATTGTAAAGTGGCTCTTCAGAACCAAATGATAAAGGAATAACCAAATAAATGAAATGTGTATATGATCAGTAGAAACTCTATGGGTACCTCTGAGACGGATGCATTAGTAAATACTATGCATATTAAAGTTTATATTTCGTTTTCTATGCATAATGAAAGTTTATGTTTGAGGAAAGATTATGAAAAGACTTATTATACAAAAAAGTTTTGAATTTACGTAATATTGACTGTCGTTTAAATTTTTTATTTCATGGTTATTTAATTGTTTGAAAAAGATGTTTTATTGTTGTTTAATGTAAATTTTTATGAGAAATATGAATTACCTGCTGAGCGAGTAAGCTCGTCCCTTGTGAGATTCTTTTTCAGGAAAATCATCTAGGATCTGATGGAAGAGATGTAGTTTACTTATCGTCGTAGGACTGGACGGAGTCGAAATGATAAGTTTTTCTTTCGGTTTGTGTCTTATGTGTGTAAGATATAGAATGTGTGTTTAAAAAACTTTTGGTATTGATATATTTGACTTGTTTAGTATTTGATGTTATGAAAGACTTATGAAAGAGAAAAATAAAATAAGTATGTGTGGTTTAGTGACTTTTTTATATATTATTGAAATGAACTTTATTATATTTTTATGTTGAACTGAATGTTTGTTTTTACTGTTTTTCGTACGACTATTTGTTCCCGCCCCGTTTATTCGGGCTAGCGGGTCGTGTGGTGACAAGAGTGGTATCAGAGCAAATGTTTAATACTGATCAGTAAGAAAGAGCCTATAAGATAATTTTATGAGCCGTAGAATGTATAAGAAGTGTGAATTTTATAAATTTTTGACTTATGATTATTGTGTATCATCTCAGGGTTATGGATCCTGTGCAGAGTGCCACTGATAGAATTGTTGGTGAGGAAGGGAGGGAGCAATCGGTAGTAGCAGAACCTTAGAAGAATAATGATAGTACCACAATGGAGTCATTTGCTCAAATAATAGCAGCAATGACTTAGATGATTAAGAACTCCCAAATTCAGGCCAGTGGCAGTGGAAGTAGTTCTATGGACAAGAACTTGAAGCTGTTTCAAGAAATGAAGCTTATGTTGTTTTTAAGTGGTGGACTTATAGAGGCTGAAAATTAGCTGATGCGAATAGAGAAGATTCTGGAGGGCATGTCTTGCCCTGAAGATAGGAGGGTGACGTTCGCTGCTAATGCCTTTGATGGTGAGGCAGAAAGGTGGTGGCGGAGCCAGCTCCAAGAGACTTTTGGAGGATGATCCAGCAGTCAAGTCTCCTGGGAAGAGTTCGTGAAGCTATTCAGAGAATGGTTTATACCCATGTCAGCCAGGAGACAAATGCAGGATAAGTTCAACAGATTCGTTCAGGGAGATCAATCTATTTCTCAATATGAGGTAGAATTCATTATGTTGTTAAGATATGCTCCTCACCTGATACCAAATGCTGAAGAGAAGTGCCACCACTTCCTGACTGGACTGAAGGATATAATAAGACAGCCTCTCATACCTTTTGTAATTGAAGACTATTCCACTTTGGTGGAAAGAGCCACAAGAATCGAGATGGACATACAGACAACTCAGAAGAGGAGGGACTTCCATAAAAAAAAAGATTGAGGGCAAGCAAAGTCCACTCAGTTTGCTCATTCTTTCTTTTCTAGTGACACTTGATGGCAACTCTTCCTAGGAGATTTGACTGTTGGATCGTTCTTCAAAAGTCTCTTGCAGTTGGCTCTGCCACCACATTTCTGCCTCACCATCAAAGGCATAAGTAGCAAGTGTCACCCTCCTATTTTCAGGGTAAGACATGTCCTCTAGAATTTTTTCTATTCGCATCAGCCAATTTTTAGCCTCTGTAGGTCCACCACTTGAAAATAACGAAGGCTTCATATCTTGAAACAACATCAAGTTCTTGTCCATAGAACTACTCCCAGTGCCACTGGCCTGAGTTTGGGAGTTCTTAATCATCTGAGTCATTGCTGTCATCATCTGAGCAAATGACTCCATTGTGATACTATTATTATTCTTCTAAGGTTCTGTTACTACTGGTAGCTCCCTCCCTTCCTCACCAACAATACTATCAGTGACATTCTGCTTAGAATTCATAACTCTGAGATGAAACACAAGAATCATAAGTCAAACATTCATAAAATTCATACTTTTTATACATTCTAAGACTCATACAATTATCATATATGTTCTTTAATATTGATCAGTATTAAATCTTTGATTTATTAAATCTTTGCTTTGATACCACTCTTATCATGACCCGGACCGGCTAGCCTGAATTAACGGGGCGGGAACAAATAGTCATACGAAAAACAGTAAAAATCGGCATTCAGTTCAAAATAAACATATAATAAAGTTCATTTCAATAATACATAAAAATGCCACTAAACCGCACATATACTTATTTTATTTTTATCTTTCACAAGACTTTCATAACATCAAATACTAAACAAATCAAATACATCAATACCTAAAATTCTTAAAACACAAATTCTATGCCTTACACAAGACACAAACTAAAAGGAAAACTTGTCACTCCAACTCCGTCCAGTCATACGACGGTAAGTAAATTGCCTCTCTGCCATCATATCCCAGATGATTCTCCTGAAGAAGAATCCCACAACAAGGGGTGAGCTTACTCACTCAGCAGGTAATTTATTTTTCTCATAAAAATTTACATAAAACAACAATAAAACATCTTTTTCATACAATTAAATAACCATGAAATGACAACTTTAAACGACAGTCAATATTGTGTAAATTCAAAACCTTTCTGTACAAGAAGTACTTTCATAACCTTTTCTCCAATATAAACTTTCATTATGCATAGAAAATAAAATATAAACTTTAATATGCATAGTATTTACTATAACACCCGTCTCGGAGGTACCCATAGATTTTGTACTGATGGGTTATATATTTTCATTTATTTGGTCATTTCCTCTAACATTTGGCTCTGAAGAGTCCATTTACCATTTGGGCACTCCGCATCAACATGCACAATTTCATATCATAAACTTATAATTTATTTTTTTTTCAGTCAATTATATAATTAATGAAAAATAATTATGATTCATAATTATTTAGCTTTAAGCATGAAAATAGCAAATTAAACCATAACATGTAAGTTTACTAACCTATTGAAATAAAGAGATTCTACTAATATCCTATTTGCAAAATAAAATTCATAAACCATATAATTTTGAAAACTCTAAAGATTTGAATAGAATAAAAAGAGCAAAGTAATATATATATATATATATCCTTGTCTCAGTAGGCATCAAACCTATTTTACTAACTTCGTACAGACATGGAAGAAGAGGAAAGCCATCATACACATTCACCTAAAAATAAATAAATTTGGTGAGCAAACATATCACATAAGAACTCATAAGTCATCAACACTGTCATCGCTAAGGGGTTGTTCATTTGAATCATCATTATGATGAACTGCTCTCTCCCCTTCCTCTCCTATCGAGTCCAATGTCAAGCATTTACTTCAAGATTTATATAAATTTTAATATATATAGCGTGAGGCGTAAGCCTCATGCCAGTGAGGCGAGGCGGGCCTCAACCAAGTTGAGGCGCAAGCCTCATAGAAAAAACTCGAGGTAAGCTTTGAGGCATTTTTTACTGGAATTGTGCAAAGGCAGGCCTCAAGGCGAGCCTCATATTGTGCAATTTTGAACCATGATCACACATAAAGAAGTGTCAACGATAATTCTTCCTCAAAGTTTTAATCATTTTCAAATTTTTTAAACTCTTCATTTCTCACTATCTGATTCTTACTACACTTAATGAAATTAACATAATTTAATTTGAATTTTTGGATTTATTAAAATCCCTTATTTTTGGAAACCATCCATTTATTTCACCAAATCATCAAGCCAAACATTCTCCTAAATCTAATTAATAATTAGGTTAATTAAATTTTGGATTTAATTAATTAGAAAAATAAAGAAAATGCAATTTCTTAAGAACACTCAAAATTTTGTTTTAGAAATATTCCTTAGACACATAGAAATTACTTTTGTAAAAACACTTAAGAATTTTCGATTTTTAGGAAATACCCTAATTTTCAAATCTCCATAAAATTTAAGGAAACTTCGTTTTTACCGTTAAAACATCTCTCTTAACATTCTCTATTGATTTCATAAAGAAATTTTGGAACAAACAAATATTTTTGGAAAAACTCTAAAATCTTCCCTTTCAAAAATCTAGAGAAAGAGAGGAAATGTAGATTCTAATGCATATCTTAGTCTTTTCTTATCCTCCTCTACGTTTTTCACAAATTTCCTCGTCGGAAAATCTTCGCTGGAGCCGCCCATCGCCTCTCCCTTCCTCGCCTCTTCCGTCCGCCTTCTCTCAGTTTAGACCGAACAAAACGATCGAAATGAGGGAAGGGGTTCGGTCTTCATTACTTAGGAAAATAGAGATTATCAAATGATCACTTTGCCCTCACTTAAATCATCTTGGCTTTATAAATGATTACAGGTAGTTTGGGTATTATGAGATTTCTATTAATTTTAATTCCAAATTTAAGCGAAATTAGCTATAAGTTTTATTTACCAAATTTATTAGAATTTTGCGAGAATTTTATAAAATTATTTCTGCCGAAATCCATTAACTTTGAATTTTCACTTAAATCTCATCGCAGCGCATCGAAATGCGTGCGATGCCTACAACGTCGTTTTCGAGTTTTACATGTGGTGGGTGGAATGAAAATTCTTGCTGCTCAAATTTATGCTACTTTTCTTTTTGGGTGGTATGGGAAATTAGCACGTTATTCTTTTTAGGTTATTTAGCAGTTTAGGTACTTTGTGGATTCATTATTAGCACTTCAGGATTTGCTTTATTTTGCGTCACTGTCCTCTTTCAAATTGCATATTGGATCTTTTTTTTTGTCACCAATAATGCATCAGTTCTGTGACATGCGACCTATGCTTGTGCCTTTTGACTCATGGCTTATTTCTGTGTGTGCTCTTATGCTTTCTAAGTAGATGTGTCTGGGTCATGCCCTAGTTGCGTTTGGCTGTTGCATTTCTTTGTCTTCAGCCTGGGCTTTTCATGTAAGTTTTATGCTGCTAATGTCACGACCCGGCCCGGTGAGCTCGCATGGGCGAGGCGGGAACAAAGGTCGGACGGTAGGTTAAAATTTCTAATTCCTAAAATCTATCTCCATAATAATTTGAAAGAGCCTCTAAAATATCAATTTGAAAACTCAATTAACATAAAACTCAAATAAATTCATAATTACCTTTCTTCTTGAGCTCCTCTCCTACGGTTTACGTTACCGCCTTTTCTACTCATTTGATTAATTTAAGTTTACCTGAAAATGTTAATAACTAACATTAAGCTAAAGCTCAGTAAGTAATACACAATTCTAAACTATAGTAAACAAGGCAACTGTGTAATATGATAGATGCCAATTTCATATGAACATAATATAAAAATGATTTCATACTAACATAACATTAAATATATCATAACATGAAGCCATATTTTTCATTTCATTTCATTTCCATATTCATATCATTATACTTAGCTTTCTCTTTTCGTATATAATACAACCGTCACAGGAGTCACCGTCTAGTACCATAAAGGTACTCCTTTACCATTTTCCTTTTCCATATCTTTTTATCATTTTATCGTGCACGAGTACGACGTCCCCAGCTAGTATTGTAAGGGGGTAAACTCCATCTAATCAGCATGCACATTCAATCATTCAATATAACATTCATATCATATCATTTCTTTTTATTTCATAAATTACATAATCTCTATCATATAATGTCATAAAATATAAAATGTAATTTGCATGATCATTCATTTGACAAGAGTAAAGAATAATGATTTGGATATAACTTGAGAGAAACAAAAATATTACTGAAATAAAGAACCATGTATACTTACCTGAAAATTAAAAAATTGATTTCTCCCCGCTAATCCTTCTTCCTTCGAGATTTCTTCAAAGCACCTAAAGATATAATTTCTTCTTCAAAATCATTTATAATAAATCTAAATTAATGTTCTCATTCTATTCAAAATCTACCCTAAGTTCTTCCTCTCCCTCTCTCCAAAAGATCACATAAAGCATATCATAATCTAAAAATTCATAATTTTGTCTAATTACTTAATATTAATCAACATAACACTTTCTCCATAATCTAAATTAATTTAAAATAATTCTATTTTCGGATTTACCTAAAACCCTAATTTTAGAAAACCTATTTTCATTATTTCCCTCAAATAAACTCTCCCCTACACCTAAATCATAATTAAATATTTTCCATTTTTGGATTTAAACTAATTAAAAATTAGGAAAATAAGATTTTATAAGGAAAACTCAATTTCTTCTCTTAAAAACTCTCTTAGGACCCTTATGAATAATATTTGCAAAGGCACTTCCAAAAACTCCAACTTTAGAGAAAACCCTCATTTTACCAAATCTCAAAATGTTTAAAAATAAAATCTCATTTTTACGCATAAAAGCATCTCTTAAACCTATCTTATCATTCTCTTAAAGAAAATCCAAGTTTCTCCTCAAACCCTAAATTTTCCTTAAAGAAAAATTCTATAAAATCATGAGAAATCTATTGAAAACAACTCACCTTAACTTTCCATTAATCTTCCCTACAAGTTTCTCCACGAATGGCCGCCTGAAATCCGCCGCTGGAGCCACCCGTCGCCTCCCTTGCGATCGCTTCTTCTCTCGGTTCCGCCTCCCTTCGGTTTGTTCGACCAAATGAGCGGAAGGAATGAAAAAGGGGGTTCAGTTCTTTCATAACTTAAGGAAATAGGGATTTCAAAAGACCCTTTTGTACTTTGGGTATTAAGAGACTTCTCTAATTTTTATTTCCTAAATTAAGCAAAATTAAATATAAGTTTTATATACCAAATTTCTTAGAATTTTGGGTAGAATTTTATAAAATTATTCCCGTCGAAATCCGACAACATTGAATTTTTCACTTAAAACTCGTCGTGCCGCTTTGAAAAGCGTGCGAGGCTTAAAACGGCATTTTTCAGGTTTTCACAGCTAAATGGTTCACATTATTTTCTTCTTGATTATTTATAGTATTCTTATTTTCTATTTTTGGGCTTGGTGTTTGCTTAGTGGCGTAATAGCTATGAGTTTTTGTCAGACATTTGGCTGTGATTTTGTGGCAGACTTATTGACTAATCCACTTTGTTATCTTCAATTATTCTTTTGCCAACGCCTTCTATGATATGCTAATCAAAAGAAATGGCATACACTATACAGAGATACTAAAGCCTGGTGTATTTATCTTTTTATCATTCATTTTCGTGTTTTTAAATGGACAGTGACCTAGTGGTAGTTTCATCCGGTGCTTCTGAGTATACCTTGACAAAGGAAGATGTTGGGCAACGTCTTGCATTTTTTTATATTCCGGCTAATTTTGAGGGTAAAGTTATCTTTGGAAGGTGCTTATTCCTCAAGATAATGGAGCTTATTTTTGGTCAAAGTTAACTCGTATATTTTTATATTTGTTCTTGCTATTTAGGCCAGGAGGGAGAATCCGTATCAATCATGTCTCAGAAAGTGAAAAAAGGTATATATGGTATTTAGATCATTTGCTACTTTATGTATTCAACCTCGTGTTATTGCTTTAAACATCTGCATTTTTCCTTCCAATTTCAATTTTAGCTCCACCAAAGGTAACCAATTTGAAGATTGTTGGAGATCTGAGGGAAGGGAGTAAATTGACAGTTGCAGCTACAGTTATCGGAGGAAATGAGGGATCTTGTAGGGTCCAATGGTTTAAAACAAGTTCGTCTAAGTTTGAGGATGAAAATAGTCTTGAAGCAATTGGTTCCTTAAAAATTGCGAAGGTGAAGATCTGTTTTTTTTCGTTATGAGCATGCTCTTATACTAAAAAGCTGGATACAATTTTCATCTTTTTGTTTTTTTCTTCCTTTTTCTTTTTTTCTGTTTATTGTAAAATTAGTATCCATTCTATTTGACCATCTTGCATAATTTTGTTCTAAGACTTTTCGTGTTCCACCTGGTGCTGTGGGGAACTACATTGTTTCGAAGTATATTCCTGTGGCTGCTGATGGTGAAGCTGGTGAATCAGCATTTGCTATCACTGAGAAAGTAATTGAAAGTAAGTAGTAATTGTTCATTGCTTGAATTTTTAAAGAAAGTCTTTGGTAAGTATGAATATTTTATTACATCTTTATGTATTTTAGCATGATTGTATGGGTCTCTCTACCTTGTATATTTTAGAAAATATTAATAATGCTAACTTTTGCTCTAACCTAATCATTTTAAACATATCTCCAACAAGGTCAATAACTTCTCTTCTCATCACTGATTCTTTCCCTAGTAAAAAAAAATTCATAAGTGTATGCTGAGAATTTGTAACAACATTACCTGCAACATGAAGTGGCTTTTATCCTAGTATGTGTAAGGATGATAATAATGATGATGTGGGTGATTTTTCTTTAAGAGTTCTTGGTAGAGTGTTGTTTTGCTTCATTATTTAAAAAATCATTTTTATTAAAAGAACAATTGAATCGATGCTAGTCGGTCTGCTCTTCATAGAGAGATGGTGAAGACTAGGGGTGTCAATATTTGACACGACCGGAAAACCCGACCCGAACCCGACCCGAAAATTTCGGGTTAGGGTCAACCCGAACCCGAAACGGGTCGGGTTCGGGTTCAGCATTTCGACCCGTTTCAAAAATCGGGTCGGGTTAACCCTTTGACCCGATTTTGACCCGAAAACCCGATTTTGACCCGGCAACCCGAGATTGACCCGTTTTTGACCCGAAAAGAGGAGATTGACCCGTTTTGACCAAAAAAATAGCAATTTTTTTTTGTTGGAAATGGGTCATTCGGGTTGTGTCGGGTTGACTCGGACCCGAAGCGGGTCGGGTTCGGGTCAGGAAAACTGACCCGTTTTTAAAAACGGGTCGGGTTCGGGTTGACCCGAATAGTGCCGTGTCAGTTTCGGGTTCGACCCGAACCCGACCCGTGACCCGAAATTGACACCTCTAGTGAAGACATAGGTGAAAGAAAGAGTGAGAGCGAGATAGAGAGTTAGAGAGAGAGAGAGAGAGGACAATGAAGAAGATCGAAAGAGTTGGAGCGTGCTAATACAGAGCGGTCTGACATAGTTGAACAATGCATATTTCTTTAAAGAGTGGAGTCTTGTAATTGAGTGAGTTAAAGATGAAATAAGGATTTTTTTTTCTCTAGCATCTTTTCCTTGGGTCTATGCTCGTGCTTTCTCAAAACCATATGTTGTTTATTTTTTCCTCTCTTCCTCCTCCATCCCTTTCCTTGGGATTTAGTCTTTTATATTTGCTGTTTGAGTTATCCTTTTTACCAAACTACATATTAAAAAAGGTAGAGGTAGACTTAAAAAGACTTGGTTAAAAAATATTAGAAATAACCTTTTTTTAGATTTAGATCAGAATTTGACTCTTAACAGGCCACAACGGAGAAAAAGGATTCATGTAGCCGACCCCACTTAGTAGGATAAAGGCTTGTTGTTGTTGTACAGTTTAATTTATGCCTTCTGATGACTTGGTTATGAGAGTAGATGCATTGGATTTGATCCATGTTAAGAAAGATAGAGATAGACCTTAAGAGTCTTGGCTAGAAAATATTAGAAATGTCCTTTTTTATTAAATTTAAATGAGAATTTGACTCTTAATAGGAAAAAATGGAGAAAAATGATTCATGTAGCCTTCCCCACATAGTGGGATAAAGGCTTGATATTGTTATTGTTTTTTGTTGTATAGTATAATTTATGTCTCACAAATTCGAATTTCTTCTTGCTATGGTGGTTGTAGTAAAACACGATCCACAACCTACATATGGACAAACATGCACATGCAAATTCCTTGTAGCTTTCTAGTATCCTGCCACAAATTTATTTTGGGCCTTACCTTCTCAGATGTTCTTGTCATGTAATTTAGAGTCTTATGATGTTTTTAGCTGTTGAATTTATTTACCATATTATGACAGCACTTCCGCCAAGCCTAAATTTTCTTTCCCTCACCGGTGATTTTCATGAGGGTGAAGTGTTGACAGCATCATATGGTTATGTTGGTGGACAAGAGGGCAGAAGTTTATACAATTGGTATCTTCATGATGTATGTCCCACTATTCAAGTTTAACTGTGCGTGACATTGTTATAATATAGAAGAAGTTATTTTTATTCAAAAAGAAAAAAAAAGGGAAAAACTTATTGCTCTACTAATTTTCTCTCTAGGTAATTTTATTGTTCTTATGAATTATAATTGTCGAGTTGGCTCCTTTGTTTTTTGTTTTTGTAGACAGAATGCACTGCTGGTATGTTAATACCTGAAGCATCAGGTTCGCTACAATATTGCATTACAAAGGATGCTATTGGCAAGTTTATTTCATTCAAGTGCGCACCAGTTCGTGATGATGGTATTTTTGGCGAACCTAGAACCTTCTGGGCACCTGAACGAACTCGCCCAGGTGAATTGCAGATGGAAGCTGAACATTAAACATATAGTGATTTTATCTTATTTCTTTTTTTTTTGTGTTTGTATAATTATTTCATGTGTTCTTCTATTATTTGTAGCCAATAGTACATTTTCACAAAAAATTCCAATAGGAATGCACACAGTAGAGCTACATTATTGTAACTTTCTTTAAGAAAGGCTTTCAATAGCAACTCTGGTGGTTGCAATGAATAATTTTAGTTTCATTAAGCTATAATAAACCACTTGATCGTCCGCAATCGAGATACAGACTCTTTAAATCATTACTTCCAAGTAGCATGCATATTTTCAGACTGAGATGCTTGAGATAAGATACAACTTAGTTTCTTGGTTCTTGTTTATATTCACATATCTTCTTTTTATGCTAGTTTAGTAAGTTTTAATATTTTTAGACAATATTCTTTGGCCGCATATTATGAGAACTGGTGATTAACAATGTTCTTCTCCTGTTGCTTTCTTAAAACTTGACCATCCAGGAAGCCCTAGGTTACTTTCCTTGAAGATAGTTGGTGAAGGTGTTGAAGGAACCACATTGTATGCTGAAAAGAAATATTGGGGTGGAGAAGAGGGTAATTCGATTTACCGCTGGTTCTTGGTAAGTGGATGCTGATCAGCTTTGTGTTTAAATTATTTTCTTTTTTGATGGATTTCTTCTCTAAATCTTGCTACAACTTTGTATTTGGCGTATGTGGGCTGTTCAGTTGCTAATATTTAGACTTCCTTTTGATGACACTTGCTATAGACTTCCTTTTGATGACACTTGCTTTTCATTCTCAGACGAGCTCTAATGGCACTGTGACTGAAATCGAAGGTTCAAATTCTGCTTCCTATAAGGTATCCTGCAGTGATATTGGTTTCCTCGTATCTGTTTCATGCGAACCTGTTAGAAGTGATTGGGCTCATGGTCCCATAGTGACTTCGGAACACATTGGTCCTATTATTCCCGGTATGTTCATCACTGATAAATTTAATGCTAACATTGTTGACCATTGAAAATATGAAATGCTCTTAACATGGATAATTTCTTTTTTTTCAGCAAATTTGTTTTAGTTCACATGTGCTCTATAGTATTACTGTGTGCGAAAAATTGACACTTTTTTTTTTTTAATTCGGCAGGTCCACCAAGTTGTCATTCACTTGAATTTCTTGGATCACTGGTTGAGGGAAACCGTGTCACTTTTGTTGTTGAGTACAGTGGCGGGTAAGGATGCTAAGAAACTCTACTTTTTTGCCCGGTTCCACTAGGTTTTTGACGCTTCTAATTGTTGCTTTTCATGCATTAGTGAAAAGGGATGCTGCATCCATGAATGGTATAGGTTAAAGGAAAGCGGTGTTAAAGAAAAATTAACTGATTATGGTTAGTTTCTATTAATTTCGGGAAATGGATCAAATTGGTCTCTTAACTTTTTATAAAAGACCAAAATAATTCCCAACTATATTAATGGATTACTTTGATCCCTCAAGTTCTTAAAAAAAAAATCAAATTAGTCCGGTGGTGGGACAATTTTGATTTCTCTTTAAAAGCTTGAGGGACCGAGAAATTGTTCTTTAATATAATTTGGGACCATTTTGATCTTTCTTAAAGAGTCAAGAGACCATTTTAATCATTTTCTCTTTTAATTTTTATACTTTTTCTATAATTTGGTTCATCTGTTTCATAAATTATTTTCATGGGACATTAGAAATATTTTTAAGATTTTGTAAAACAATATTTTTTTTTTCTGAATATGGCATTTCATACTTTGTAGAGTTTCTGGATTTGACTTATGAAGATGTGGGAAGATTGATTGAGCTTGTTTATACGCCTGTTCGTGAAGATGGATTGAGAGGCTCCAAAAAGAGTCTTATTTCAACCACCATTTTTCCTGGTATCGAGTTAATATCTTAGCTACTATGTAGATTGCAAGTAGTTATACAATTCAACAACAACAACATCAAGCCTTTGTCCCACTACGTGGGGTCGGCTATATTGCAAGTACTTATACAATATTTAATTTTTTAAAATATTTAAAAAATATTTAGTTGCTTTTGTTAACCTCTAGGACGCTTATGATGCTGAGACGTTTCCAATTTTCTTGTTATGGGCAGAAGTTTTATCAACTGTTGTGATACTATTGTTGGTAGGCTAAAGGATCTATATTTTTCCTGCTATGTGAAGAACTTGCTTTGATTACTTTGTGATTCATTCGACACTCTGTTATTGTATACATGTTCCTCCTTAAGGCACTTGAGGCTCATGCGATCCTTCTAAGTACGCAGTTAAATGTAAAGAGAGACGGAAGCAAATGATAGACCGGCGGCTGAGCCGGTGGGCCCCACTAGAGTGGGTGGTGGGCAAGAAGAGAGAGGGGCACAAAGCAATCATCGTATCCACAATAGCAATCAGTTAAGAAATAGAATAAAGCTTCGAATCAAAACATCAATAAATATTGTTGAAATCAAATCAATATTATAAATTATATTGGAATGTACACATGCTATTCAGTTATTCTATATCAATATTAAATCAACATCTTAAACACATGCTCAATGAATATATAATGTTTTTTATATCAATAAATCAGTAACAGTGTTAATAATAAATCCATATAGTAATATGAACATTCATTTCAGTAGTCACATTAAACAAGTAAGAATTCTGGCTTTCACAATATTTTTTAGTATCGTATCAGTAAACCTTTGGTTCTGTAAACAAAGCCGTCACTCTTTGCTTGTCGGCCCAATAATCATTTCTTTATAACTCACAATCAGTGTATCACGTAAATCAGTAGAAAATAATATCAAACCATAGTATTTAAATAAAAGCTCGTCGACCCACCTTTTTGCATAGGTCAATCAGTATCCAATCAACGAGTTAATTAGTTTTTTCTTATGTTTTACACATACATTATTATCACAATACTATAATAGTAATCCCAATAACATATTCATGTCCATAAAACATAATTGAGCTTAATTCAAAAAGTGTCAAAATGCCCTAATGGTAGACAACTAAAATCATACTAGGTAAACATTCACATTTTTTAGAATTTAACCAAATTACCAAATATTGCATTAAATAACATTCTAAAATTTTAGTTGAACTAAATCACTATTTTTAGACGTTAAAATAAAATTCTGAGTAGACAAAAATCGTTGTATTTTTAAAATCATCCTGTGAAAAATATCAAATAAATACTCAAAACATTCATAATCTCAGTCTCTATAATATATAAAAAATTACACGATAAAGTTTTACCAATAAAAAAGTATCATCATTTTTCGGTTATGGAAATACAAATTTGATCGGAAAAATATCAAAAACACAAAATTATTGAAATCAGAAATAATGCAATGATTCCTTACAGCGTGCTGAGAAAATCTCTTGATAGCGTCGACGGACGAAAATCGCTCTGCAACCTTTAAACCTCAAGTTTCATTTTATCTCTCCTCACTTTCTCTCTTATTTTCTCTTTTCATTCTTTGTTAGCCGAAACCTTAGGGAGAAAAAATGGGTTTAATAAATTCATATAATGAATTCAGATATTTAGGAATAAAATAATAATATAATACTATTGAATAATATAATTTATCAATTGTCAATATTAAATTTATATATATTCTTTGGGGCTTTAAAAATTATAGAAAAATATCCATAAAATAAATTATTTTATTTTAAAAATATTGATGAAATCGGTTTGTAAAACAAACACCTGACGGTCTCAAAGTTTTCACTTGTACTAATAGGTTTTAATTTTCTTAAGGATTTTCATCGGTGCCCAAAAATTATGAAAAAAAAAATCATGTAATTAAAACACAATAATATATATCTTACGGTAAAGTCGGTTTTCAAATTTAACTTATAATGACTTCTTAAAAAATGTATTTGTCTGGATCGAAATAAAGGCTATTACATGATAATGGTGTTAACCTTACATTTTAGTATTCTTCATTTCAAAAGAGACCTTTCTTAATTTTACTAATTTGAATTTCTAGGATGTATATTTTAAAATTAACTTTTGTTTAGTCATGCAGCAAAATACTATCAACTTTTTTGGATGAATATTTCTTGTTTGAATTCAAGATGATACATTTTTGCTGATGCCTTACAGCGGATCCCAAGGGTATTAAACTTATTATTCCTGACTGCCTTGAGGATAAGGAGATCATTCCTCTTAAATCTTATTATGGTGGAATGGAAGGCAGCGGGGAGTATGTTTGGTATAGAACGAGGTGTAAACCTGATGAATCAAACATGTTGGATGTGTCTAGTGCTACTGCGGACTTTGTAGTTGTTGGAAAGAATATGTAAGCTGTCATAGGTACAATTGTTTGATTAATTCTGCTCTTACTTGTCTCGTTCTAAGAACTTTTTAATTTCAAATGAACTTGTTGAAAAAGGACTTATACGCCCACACTTGAAGATGTCGGCTGTTATTTGGTTCTTGATTGGGTGCCTACACGGGATGATGGGAAACAAGGTTCTCCAGTAATTGCAGTTGGCAGCAACCCTGTCATCGCAGGTCCTTTATTTGATAGTCATACTTCTTTCTAGTCTCTTTTGAACCCTCTTTTTCTTAAACTTTCTTGCTTTCTTAACCACGCAGCACTTCCAGTTGTTTCCAATGTATGCATAAAGCATCTTGGTTCAGAAATTTACGAAGGAGAAGGCCAATATTACGGTGGATCTGAGGGATCAAGCATGTATAGCTGGTATAGGCAAACTAGTGATGGAACCATTATTCTCATACCAGGAGCCACTTCCATTAATTATAAAGCTGGAGATCCAGATTACAACTGCCGCTTGTTATTTGGGTAATTGCTACTTCTTTTTAGTGTTGTTGCTTGTATTTGATGATCATATGTACTATTATGCAATGACCTTTAGTAACTCAGCTCCTATCGCTATCCAAATTGAGAAAAAGTATGATGCACATATATTTATGTTGTGTGGGATAGAATTCAGTATTTCTTTGTTTCCTTGTTATGATTATAGTAGATGTGAGATTAAAGGAGTTGAATGATCTAGTTTAAGAATGGGGGAGTGGAGAGAGAGGGATGAGTCAGAGGGAATGCAAAAGTTAGATTGCAGAAAGAAAAAGATTAGTGGGGGAGAGTGAGGAATCAAATGTATTTAGAAGCAAAATCTGAAATGCGAATTATCACTTAACAAGTGAACTATAAGGTTTCTATTGAAGAAAAAATATCCTTGTTTGCGTTTGCTCAAATAATAAGATTTTTAAAGAAGAAAAAAATAAAACAAATAAAATAAATAAAATAAGATTTTTGAAAAAGAATGATAGGGAAGGATTAGAGCATGATTCTAACCATTAAAATGTAATTTTGTTCAAGAAAATCTTAGGTTTCTAAATTAGGGTTTTATGGAAATTTAATTTTGTCTTAGGAATATTGTTAGGAAAGGTTTAAAAATGCTTTTTAATGATGAAATTTGATTTTTCCCTAAATTTTTTAAGTTTCAAAAATTAGGGTTTTTCCTAATTTTGAGATTTTGTGATAAGTTGTTAACAAATGTTATTCGTATGAGTCTTGGGAAGGTTCTAATAATGAGAAAATAAGTTTTTTATCAAAAAAATTATTTTTCTAATTTTTAAATTAAATTAATCCAAAAAATAATTATGTTTAATTGTAATATAGGTTAGATAAAATATTTTAAAAAATAATTTGAAGAAAATATGTAAAATTTAGGTTCCTAAAATTGATATTTTAATTATAACTGAAATTGTATGTTAAAATTTCATTAATTGTTTAGGTATATAGTAATTAGGAAGAAAAAAAAAAGATAGAGAATGAAATTATTAAATAAGAGCATTGGAAGGAGAATTTCATGTATATTAATTTAAGTATTTGTTTTCCTTAGGTGTTAAACCTAAGAAGAGGTTGGTTTGAGGAGATTTGAAAAGTGCTTAGGATAAGTGGCAAAGTATATTTTAAATTTCATTTTCTTACTCCTGTAAGTATGTTTATGTTGCATTTTTTTTAAGAGGTTAATTATTTTATATTGCATATGTCCATAATTGTAATTATGTTATATTAATCCTTAAGGTGTTATTTGTCTTGAGTTGCATATGGATGTTTATGTTGCATTGTTCTTTTAAAAGCTTAATTGTCTCAAGTTGCATTTGGCCTTAAATGTTTTAAGATGTTAATGATAGTATTACATATGCCTTTAGTTTTCATTAAGCAACTTATGACCTTAGCTTTTCTTCATGTGTAATATTATATGTTTAGATAGAAAACTCTTCATATGTACAAAAGTTCATTTTCATACTTAATCAAATTATATTAGTGGATCGAACATATTTATGGTTGATATGTTAAATCATCATATGTTATGATATCATGATATGCAAGTTTGTGTATGTTGAGGCGGAGTACAAATACGGTGCATTTGCACAATACGGCTCTTGAGGGCAAAATGATGATGAATGGTCAAATATGAAATTGTGCCTGATCATTATAATATGGGTATTCTTGTACGGATGTTTATATATATGATATATATTATAAAACAATGTAAAAAAGTTTAGATGTGTATGTCCTTTAAAAGCATTCATTCCATAAAAGGTTTGATAGATAAATACAAGTTTGTTTGGCATGCATATTGATTTCCTTTACATTGCATATGAGTTTAGTAGATGTAATAATTACTTGCTGAACGTTAGCTCATTCCCTATTTTTGGTATACTTTTCAAAAGACTCTGTTGTTAGATGATGGCTGAACGATCCTGGTTTACGCCAAGTTACATATATATGAGGACAAGTTTCTTGTATTTTAGTTTGATGTGATTTTTGTTGGTAGATGTTGACATGAAAGAAAATTTTTATCTACTTTTGTATATCTTTTATTTATTATATGAAATGTTCTTATAATTGAAAGTTGATTTTAGAGGTGCTGATTATCTATTAAATTATTTTAGATTCACATGCTTCATATTTCAATATTATTGAAAGGATATGTTTTAACTTTTAAGTCCGACATATGTTCCCGTTTCTTCTATGCAAGCTCATCGGGCCGGGAACGGATGTCGCATAGACGGGGCTCTGATACCACTCTTATCACGATCTGGTCCGATGAGCTCGCATAGACAAGGCAAGAATGGATGTCGGACTTAAATGTTAAAACATAGCATTTCAATATCTTTAAAACATGAAACATATGAATCTAAAATAACTTAATGGATAATTAGTGTATTTAAAAACAACTTCCAATTCTAGAACAAAATATTTCATATCTAAATATCACAAGATTTACAAAGGGTGGCTAAAAGTTTATCATGTCAACATCCACCAACCAAATCTTTTTGCAACAACTAAAGAAAAATACACTAGAATTTGTCCTCCGGTCCTCTACCGCTGTACATAAATTAGGGTCGCTCATCCATCACCCAGCAACAAGATCTTCTGAAAAGTATCCCAAAACTAGGGAATGAGCTAACACAGCAAATAACAATTACATCTAAACTTATGTGCAATGTAGAGGAATTAATATGAATGATAATTAAACTTATATTTATCAATAAACTCTTTATGAAATGAAATGAATACTTTTAAAAGATATAGACTTCTAAACTTCCTTACATTGATTTACAATAAAATACATCCGTACTGAAGTACTCCGTCTCAAGATGCACAATCTTACATATCATTTTGATATCATAAAATAAGATGATATAATATATTAGTCATACATATGTTTGATCTATTAAAATGAATTTGATTAAGCATGAAAGTGAACTTTCATACATATGAAGAGTTTTTTATTTAAACATGAAATGTAATAATGCAACATGAACTTTTATATGTAACTCAAGACACCAATAATATCTTAAGGATTAATGTAATATAATTACAATTATGATCATATGCAAGACATAACAATTAACTTCTTAAAAGAACAATTGTAACATAAACATATTTAAAAGAGAAATAACATGAAATTTAGAATGTAATTATCACTTACTCTAAACACTTTGCAAATCTTGTTGAAATTTTACATATTTCCTTTCGATTATTATTTAAAACATTTTCTCTAACCTATATTACAATTAAACCCAATTATTTTTCGGATTAAATTAATTTAGAAATTAGAAAAAAAATATTTTTTTATCAAAATCTCATTTTCTCTTAATTAAATCCTTCCCAAGACTCCTTGGAGCAACATTAGTTAACAACTTAGCTCAAAATCTCAAAATTAGGAAAAACCATAATTTTTTAAACTAAAAAACTTTAGGGAAAATTCGAATTTCATGCTTAAAAATGTTTTTAAACCCTTCCTAATAATATTCCTAAGACAATATTAAATTTCCATAAAATCTTTATTTGGAAACCTAAGATTTTCTTGAGCAAATTTACATTTTAAATGGTTAGAATCATGTTCTATTCATTCTCTATCATTCTTCTTTGAAAACCTTAAGATTTGAGCAAACCTTAAAATTTAAACCTAAGAAAATTTAGGGAAAATGAGAGTTTATTTGCAATTGAAGCTTATCTCCTTCTTCCTTAGTCTTTCCCCTTTGATTTTTCCCCAAGACCTCGCCGGAAACTTCTGCCGGCGCCATCGTCTCCTCCTTGCACCTGATGCCGCCTACCCTCACGCGAGCGGCCAAACGAAACAAGGGACCGAATGAGGCGTATGAGGGTTTAAGGGAAAAAAACAAATGCCTAATTACGCATGTACCCTTTCTCATAGTATTTTTCTTAAGGATCATGAGAACAATTTGAGCATAAAGGCTAAATATTACTTAAGTTAACTTCGATAGTTTTTAGTTTTAAATTCGTGCGAAATTAGGTATAGGTTCTTCATATCATTTCGAATGAAATTTCGCTTAGAATTTAATAAAATTATTTGTGTCGAATTCCGACGACTTCGAAATTTCTCCTTATTTCATCGCGACACATCGAAATGCATGCGATGCATCCGATCGATATTTTTCGGGTTTTACACATGAACCATCACGTGATGCTACTCACTTGAAGGATAATGTCTAAACTCGTTCGTCAAAATTAGATCAACATTTGATAGAGAATTGGGGTTGGCGGTAAAAGTGTCATTGTTGTTTCTTGAGGAGATGGAGAAGCTCTACTTGTGAGGACAAATATAGGAAAATTGGGAGGTGCAAGATTTACTCTATAAATTAATTGTTTCGACGTGGAAAGTTGGTGTAATGTTCATCAGGTGATTTAATAACACGTATAATGGGTATGATGATGGTAAGAGTAATATTGGTAAGTGTAGAAGTTGGGATTACCAATGGCGTGCTTTGGTGCTTAAGGTCAAGTGAGTGTGTGGTGCTGCCTTGGAGAGGTAGGGGCAAATAGTGATAAATGGTTGACTGGGCAAACAAGATAAATGAGGAGATTGATGATAAGAATAGTATTGGTAAGTGTAGAGGTTCGAATTATTAGTGGTTTGTTATGGTACTTACCATCTAATGTGTGAGTAGTGGTGTTGGCTAGTGTAGTGAAAAGGAGAAGTGGAGCGTTAGAGATGTGGATCTTGCTACTGCTAAATTCTGATTTGAGGGAGAACATGATGAGGAGGTACTATTTAAGGATCCTTAGGCTCAATAGTTATATTTTAAATTTAAACAAGCATATAATAACTTTGGTTTTTAGCTTCCACAATTTAAGGTTAATCTAATCTTTGCTATTTTTTCATGTTCATTTCCATCATAACCCATGTTATGTTCTTCATCACAAGATTTGTATCTCACCATGTCTATTTCTATCTCCCTAGAATCTTCTTCTTCACCATTAAAAAATTATTGCAGTAGGTCTAGAAGCTCTCACACTTAAATTTGATCTGACTTGTTTGTTTTATCCCTCTCAAGAAGTGACTTTGTTCCCTAAAATTTAACCATAATTTTATATGTGCCACCACTATTTATCGGAAGCACCATATTTATATATTTATTAGAAGTGCTGCCACTGTAAGCAATAGAATACAATTTTTTCAATTGATTTCAATAGGCGATGCAGTATGAATTTTCTATTGAAGTATATGTGCAGGTCTGTCATTTTTAAGTTTTGGCCATAAGATGAAGCACATGGATGCAAGTTTTACGCCTTGGAATAAACTAACTTTGGAATCATCTTTTCATTTGAATAAGGGTTGAAATAACACAACTATGAATCTAATGAAGAGTTTTATTGTCACGACTCGGCCCGGATACTCGATTTAACGAGGCAGGAACAAAAAGTCGGACTGTATGATCAAATCATTTCAATTCATAAGCAAAACAACATTAAACATCATATTTTCTCCTTTGATCTGAAGAGCCACTAACAAAAAAATTTCAAATACTTAACATTTATAAAAATCATAAATTACCTGTTTCGAATTCTTCTCTTTCTGTCATTTTTAAATATCTAAAAATTTACCTTAAAAATTTATTTAATGGAATGAGTTTACAAAGTAAACTCAGTGTGTAATTATTGACAATTATAAAACAGTGAAAATAGATATATCGATATAATACATACAACTTTTTCTCTTAATATCAATCGATACACATACATCTTTCATGCATTATAAATCTTATAATGACACATAAGTCTTTTTCTTGGTATTCATTCATAACCATCCATTTCTATGTTAACATTTCTTTTATTAGGTTTGACATTCAATTCCTTAGTATATCCATTTCCCCATTTCCATTTACAGGAGCACCGTCTAAATGTATCAATTAAGATTCAACCATTTCCATTTCATTTTCTTTTCATTTTCCTTTTTAACATGCACGGGTACGTTGCTTCCCCAGCCAGTATCATACGGGGGTGAACTCTTGTAATTTGCAATACCTTTTTCATTGTTATAATTACATCTTTTTATTTCTATACATATACATAATTTTTGTCTTTCATTTTGTTTTCCATTTTCCACTTTTCATTTAATCATTATTTATATCTTTGCATATTTCATATCTTACATAGTTTAATACCTTTCTCTTTAATAAAACTTTCAAACGTTTATAACAGATGAAATTTATCATTGTAATTTATGCAAATAATCAAATGTTTAAAAGATTGTATGCATAAAATAAAATTATAAAATTACATAATTTACCCACTTTGATCTTTTCAAATATTCGATCCTCATCTCAACCTAAAGAGATACAAAACAAAGAAATTTTATATATAGTTAACTTTCATCAACTTTCTCAATAACATCTACCTAATTGATTCTTACCTCAACCTCAAATTTTTTTTTTTGTTGAATTCCTTGAAGAACCCAACTTCTGCAACTTGATCTCTGTCCTTCCAAAATTCCTAAAATCAAATAATAAAATTTTTATAAAAAAAATGATTTAATAATAAATCTAAAAAAAATTATATGAAAGAAATTTTACTTACAACGAAGGATTTTCCAAATCCCAAAATCTTCTATAGATTTGTTTCTACTTATAATGACAGGCTAGAAAATTCTGTCTTAAATTGTGTCAATTTACTGGATCCTGGATGAGTTAATACTTGATCAGCTAGTCGGGGTTCAACTTTGATTAGCTAGTCGGTTTGGTAATAATTTACCCAATCATTAAACAGTAGATGATCCAAGAAAATGATAGGGCACACTTGGATTAAGACAGCCCATATTCTTATGCGGCTAGTAGTGCCGAATTCCTAAGCTTGGGAAAAGCTCGATGGGCCAATTTCGTGCAGGGACAAAGCCAGTTCTGCTAGTATCCTTCTATTTTTAGTTCTTTTTGGCAATCGTTGCTTCAATAAAATTATTTAATGGTAATAGCACAATATGCACTTTTTTCTTTTTCCTGTCAAAGATTTTTGCATCTGTTATTTTTTCTGGTAGTTGTTACAGCTGCAATTTTTTTCTTCTTGCAACTAATCCTTTGGCATTAAAGTTACGTTTAGCATCTTAGCAAAAGTTTATTTATTTAGTCATGCTTGCAAAGGTGGTTTGTGATAGGAAATACTTTAGTTCACAAGTAACCCTAATGGGAAATACTTGAGTTTGCAAGCAAACCTAACAATAATTGATAAAAACAGAGAGAAAACCTTAAGATCCCCAATGAAAACAATCCAAAAACAGTTGATTGTATTATAGGAATCAAACCAAAAGCAAGAACAAGCAAAGATACAACTGATCCTTAATTCGATAGGAGGATCGTTCTCTCCCAATCTCTAGACGATAAATCTAGAGCCCAAAACACCCAAGAGTAACTCCAAGAGAATACAATACTCAAAACATCCCCTAACCCTAACCTCCCATCCTCTTTAAATACATATCTTCCAAATCAAAAGCTTTCTAAAATTAACCAAATTCAAAATAGCCTTCATGTGCTTTAGCCGCCCCCTTCCCTCTCTATTTTGCCACCTTATGAGGGGTCCACATGCTTGGGTGGCAACTTCTAAGGAGCTGGCTTAGCCCGCCTCCTATAGAAGTGAACCGGCCCAGGTTGAGCAGGTTTGGTCGGTTCAGGGAGAACCGTAACAGTTTGCTTTATTTTTTTTTCTCTTTGAAAGGAATCAAGTGATTTGGACATCATTCCATTCTTATTCTTATTGTCACGCTTTTATTATTTTAGTATGATATTCGCATCAACATTGCTTGTGTTTTATTTTTTGGTGTAAAATTCTGTACCTTTTTCTAGCCCCTTCGTATTATAATTAGATTGATAGTATTGACTTGTCTCTGTTTTCTTTTAAAAGATTATTTTAACATTTATTGGCAGCTACACTCCTGTTCGTTCAGACTCAGCTATTGGGGAACTTGTACTGTCAGAAGCATCTGACATTGTTCTTCCAGGTAAACAGTTTATGAATTATCAGAGTTACAACTTCTTCCATTTTCCTTATCTTCTGCTTTATGTAAGAGATGTTCCGTGGAATGTGGAGTATTCTTTGAGTTTTATTCATTAGGAAGAATTGAAGAAGCGCTAAATTTATTTACCAACAAGTAAGCTAATAAGTGGAAATGTAAGTGGAAAAAAATAGGTTAGTGGGTTGTGGAAATGAAATCTATCGAAGATTTTAAAATATAAACTTAATGTGATTAATTCATAAATAATTAAGAATAGAATATGTTTATTTTATGTGTTAAGAAACAATTTGTCAGAAATCGGTCCTGACTGGTAGACTAAAGGCAACATGGCTACAAGTTTATGTAAAAGACAACCTTAGGTAATTGTGATAAGTCCGTTAATGATAATAATGATTTACTACCTTAAGAGTTGCCTTATAAACCACTGTTATTTTCAGATTTATAGTTCCAAACATGGAATTGATGAATTGAGATAATTCATATGATATTGCATTTGAAAGGCTTAATGTTGAACTGTTTTTTATTTTAGATTGGATATGCTCACTTCCTCTTCCTTACAATGCAGTGTCATACATGGGGACCTTTTTGCCCCACTTACAATGCAGTGTCATACATGAGAACCATTTTGCCCTACCTGCAAATGTAAATTTACATCATTTTATAGCCAACTTTTACTTTAATAAATTGATATTCATTACACTTCACATATTCATAATCCATACATGCTTATTATGGTTGTATACATTCCATAATTTTTATAACCATCTATTGCATGAAAAGAATTTATATGCAATACCTAAAGAAGTGAACTTCTTTTCAACATCTTACCAACTAAGCAAAGATTTAAGCAATCATGCTTATTCATATTTCAAACTTCAATTGTTCGTATGGATATGCGGTTGCTTATACATGAATACTTGAATGGATTCCCATGGTTACTATTGAAATTTTCATAATGCATAAATTTCTCAAACCATTCAAATGACATTAAAAATATACCTAGAAATAATAATCCTTGCATTTATAAATTAAATTTACATAACTTACCTTCCTGACGAATTGTTTCTTCCAATTCTACACCATGTAACCTTCTCCTTTTATAAACTATTTCAAAACTTCCTTGCATAAATCTTAGGAATCCTAAAATTACAATTGGTATACACTTCCTTCGAACTTTTATCACTTTTAGAAATATAAAAGACAACTAAGAATATATCAAAAATGCTTACCTCTTATTTCACCGCACTTTCCCTCGTATTCTTCCTTCACTGTTCTTTGTTCTCACAGCCGAGATTTCCTATTTCTTCCCAAAATTTCTGTTCTCTGTTTCCTATCAAAGCCGAAATTCCTACACAAAACTTCTGTCTTCTTCAAATCCCTTCAGCCGCTGTATGCTTGCCTTCAAAGCCACACAAAATCCCTTTAGCTTATGTATACTTTGATGATTTCTTTCACAGTCACTAAATTCCTTCAGCCGTTCACTATCCATACAGCCCTGTGAACCGATTTTCCTCCCAAAGCACTGTGCCGCCTCTTATAACAGAAATTTCTTCCCGTAACTGCCCTCCCTTATTTATTTACTGCTAGCGAATTCCAAACAAAAGGAAAACTGAGAGAGAGGGCCCACACCAATACATAACTGTATTCCAAGTCAATTCTTACACCTTATAAGCATCTGTTCGGATAAAATATTAGGAAATACTTAATCTTATTTAATAATTATTATTTCTAATTTAAGAGTAATTAATTATTAAAATAAGATGATAATTTTATTAAATAAAATTTTAGATTTATTACGTTGATTTTGGATCTTACATTATCTTCTTTAGATGACATTGATAGTTTAAGGCATAACAAGGGTGTTAAAGTTTTACATACTTCAGAGCTAAGATTCTTCCCAACCCAAATCTGACACAATCAAAGTATCATTTAATGTAAGAAATATAAAGTTTATGCACAATAGAGTTATCAATTGGCACGACGGTCGTGGAGCTTAGAATATTAACACAGGAATAGACATTTTGAAGAAACTTAAATGCTTTTATCATGCTTAACAAAAATTTCCAAGCCATTCTTCCAACACATCAAAAGAGTCACTAATTCATAAATTTTTATTTATCTGAAAAATGACAAGAAGATACATTGTTCTTCTTATAAAGATGCATAATATTGAATAGTGCTCAGATTTTCTTTACATATCGATCACCGAATGCTCTTCATTAGTTGTAGACAAACAATCTTCTATCATTCATTTATTGGACATGAAATATATATAGTAGTTATTTGTTGCTGTAATTTAATGAAAGAGAATAAAATGTAAATTGGTCATCATAAATAGAACTTGGACTTTCATATTAATAACAATTGAAATAAAAAATATCTAAATTTTATTTAAACATGGAATAGAAAATTTAACATTCAATTAGACATTCATAACAAGAGCATTAAAAACTTAAAAGGAACACATCATATCATATACTATCTTATCTTTTAATAGTATTGTTACTATAGCGCCATCTTTGCATCACTTAATGCACATCAATCTTAATATAATTTTAAAAAATCTCCCAACTTTGAGGTGAGTTAATAATCTTTTATGTGCAGGTACAATGCGTCATCTGTTAGTATCACAAGGAGATGACTATACATGCAAGCATTTCTAAATGTCATATTCTTTGCATTTATTTCAAAACTTATCATAATAAATATTTCATAACATTATATGGGATACTCATTTGAAATAAAATGAGTTTTGAGCAACATTTATTATAATATGCAGATCATTTGCATGAAAGAAAAGATGAATTTATCTTAAACAATTTGTATTAACAATCTCGTAGAAATACCTTTATCAAATGTATATAAGAAGGCATAAAAATCAATAAATTAGATTTAGAGGAATATATATCAGTATTAGAAAATAGAAATATAGTCACTTACCTTAGATGCAAGCCATTTTGTTTGTCAAATCAATCCTTAATCCTCATTTCTCTCAACTTCAGTACTTATAAATATATAACATTGTATATAAATATTTATTTATTTTGTTTTTTTTTATTCTGATATTAATCATACTTTTCTTTTTGCTAACCAATTATCCCCATTACATAATTACACAGATGAAATGAAATTTACATTTCTTAACAATACCTATCCTAAATTCAAATAACAAAATCAGTTTCATTTTTTTCATTGTCAAAGCCAAAATGATAAAGTATAGATTACCTCTCCTTATGTAAAACCAATTATCAATACTTAGGATATCCTTAAATAAATTTCAAATTTTATCTTCTACTATATTAATATCTAGAAACCTTTATGAAAATTTCAGGGACCATTTTATGAAAAATTAAAATAGTCCACAACTATATTAAAGAATCATTTTGGTCCCTCAATTCCTTAAAAAAGAACAAAAATAGTCTCACATGGGACTATTTTGATTCATTTTTAAAGATTTTAGGGACCAAAATGGTCCTTCAATATAGTGGGGGACCATTTGTCCTTCATGAAGAGTCAAGAGATTATTTTGGTCATTCTCTCTATTTGAAATAATTTAGGTAAGATCGAATTTTACCTTGAATAGAAAGTGGAACAAAAGGAGTTTTGAAAATAATTTAGTTAAGGTTGAATTTTTGCCTTTGCTTGAATAGAAAGGCGATGTAAAAGAGGCATAGGAAATCTGAAAGCTTTACCATTTTTCTCACGCGCGCACACAAATGCATGGCCCTACTCACATTAATTGCTGGCTCTCATGCTTTCATCACTTATTTTCTCACTGCACTTGATTTAGTCATCTGCTTTAAGCGCTTGCTTCACTCTCTCGCTGCTTCGCCCTCGCTTCCTCTATCTAACATTGTATTACTTGCATTTTTCTTCTCTGGCAATCTATTTTTACCCTTTTTTATAGTAAATCTGACTACTAGTTGGTTCAATTGAATCAACACTAATTCAATTATTTTCTTTTATTGGTTTTCATATCTATAATGTATTATGTTGAACCTACAAGTATGATGACTTGATAAACAACCTAGTGGACAGTGTAGGGGATAAGCAATATAAGTTGTGATTTTATTATAAGATTAGTGATTTATGTTAAGCACAATGTGATTTGACACTTAACTATATGACTATACAAACTTGTTATCAACACTACAGCAAGTCGCTCGCGTGCGGCCCTGCTCTGTTTTGCTCGTCCTCTCAATTTTGCATTGCCTGTTTTAGTTAGGGGCCGGTTCAATTGAACCAGCCAAGCCCGGTTCTTACAGATAACATAACATAAATCATCAAATCACTAATGAACCATATAAGTCTCAAACTCATGAGGTCAACAGATGTGTTTGAAAAATCCACTTTCCTAATTTTATTATGCATGTTCCTTCAAAGCCTTTTTTTGTTATAGGCATTTGATAAGGAAACAGATAATGACTGATGATACCTTAAGGCTCAAGTGCTTTTCTTAGATGCTGATTGTCATGCCTTATTTGTTATGCTTTTTCCAGAACTCCCAAAAATTGAGTTGCTTTCTTTCAATGGAAAGGAAGTAGAAGGAGAAATACTCACAGCTGTTCAATTAATACCAAAAACTGAAAATCAAAAGCATGTTTGGAGCAAGTACAAAAACGATGTTAAATACCAATGGTAAACTACTATTTTGTCATATTTGGTATAATAGCTTCTTAGAAGCTAATTTCTCTTATCATGTCAAGGTTTTGATGACAGGTTTTATTCAGTGGGGATGGGGGAACATCAATCTTTTGAGCTGGTTCCCTCACAACAGTCTTGCTCATATAGGGTGCGTTTTGAGGATATTGGTCGTTGCCTGAAATGTGAGTGCACTGTTACTGATGTATTTGGAAGATCAAGTGAAACTGTCTCAGCAGTGACTTCTCCTATCTTGCCAGGTAGTTCAATATTTGTGTTAAAAGGCAATGATAAATATATGATTTTCTCCGAAACCTTTTTTTTTCTGATATTTTAGGGCTAGTTATAATTTCTCTGTTGAACTTCATGAGACATTGTTTTTATGTTTGTTTTAAGAATTGGATATCTTATTTTTGAGAGGTATATGGGACAGCAGTAAACTTCTCGGTAGGCCTGCACTTTTCATGATTTTGTTCTTCTTTCGGGGAACTTCACTTTGATCTAAATAGCTATGGAGAGTATTTTATGATGGACATGAGAAAAGATAACAAACACCCAGTAAAATTGTTCTTTTTGGCAATATTAACCATTATAACATTTAACATGTATTGAAAAATAGAGAACGTAGTTAGCTCGACGAAGATGACAAAAAACGAATTGAAATTATTTTAATTAAAATTAATTCCTCATATGTTAGAATGAGAAAGGAGTATTTTTCAAAAAAAAAAAACTTGCGGTTATCCTAGGGAAAGTATTTGCTTTACCATTGAAGTTTAAAATAGAAGTATTTTTCAAGATCTTTGATTAGATTTGGAAGATTCAAGTACTTTTGAATAATAAATCTGTGCATGCAGTATATAAGTATAACGCGTGAATTTGCTTAAGTAAAATTTATGTGTGTGTCAGTATAATGGATGAATGTGCTAACTAAATTTTATGTTTATGTCAGTATAATGACTATGAATTTTAGTATCTTATTTCTTGCTAAATGTTTTCAATGTATGTATAGTGGTGGACAAATTTATGTAGCGAATGCGTGACAGTGCTGTGTATATCCACTTTAGAGACCCTATTTTCACTTGTTCATCGTTATAATTGCTTTGTTTTTCATTGACGACTTACGGGAGGCTCATTACAGGGCGTTTTGAATAATCTTAATAAAAATCCTACTGAGTTTCAAGTTCTCAACATTTTATGTCTTCAGCAAACTAATGCTGGAAGTAACCAGATGCTAATGTATTTGATTAAGGTGATATCCTTAAAAACAATATTATTTGCATTTCTTCCTGTAATGTAATGGCATTAGGTATTGATATTAACAAAAGTTCATGATTTCTCATTCGATTTGTTTTCCTTGTATAACTGTTTTACAGAATTATCATATTCATTCTTGACTGTTCCTGAATAATGGTTTTGCTGTGCCCTTGTTAGATTTTGAAGTATCCAAACCTTTTATATTAATCAGCGTTATTTTTCATCAGCTTTCTTTATGTCGTACTATTTTATTTTTATCCAGGAATGCCTAAAATTTGTAAGCTTGAGATTGAGGGAAGAGGCTTCCATACAAACTTGTATGCTGTTCGTGGTATATATAGTGGAGGAAAAGAAGGAAAGAGCAAAATCCAGTGGCTTAGATCGATGGTTGGAAGTCCTGATCATATATCTATACCTGGTATGCCAAAAATGACATATACTATGGCAGATTTGCAAGTGTGGTGTTAATTAATATACCTTTAATCAATTTTAAAAAAGGTCTTTTATATGGCTTATACTAAATATATGATGTGCTTGATTCTGATTTGCTTATTGAATCGTTATACTCTGTTTGGCTCCAATATATGCTTTTAAAATGCGAAGGGGCTGACATTGGGCGGGAATATTCATTAATTCTACCATGAAATATTACTTGTTTATATTTCAATCATTTTGAAATAGAAAGGTGGAATATCTTCATTTAACAGCAACCCTGAAATATTTAATCCCTGTTTCTTTATTTAGTGCTGCATTTTTATTGAAATAAAAATTATACAGAACTTGCCTTAGCTACATGGAACAGAAACCCAGATGCTTTCAATAGAATTGCATATAGATTTTTGTAGCAATTTGTTCTTCTTGTCCACATATTATAGTGTCCTTCCTGCGCTTTTTTTTATTATTCAACTAAACTAGCAGCTAATATAATATTTGGAAGCATGGATATGACAAGAGACCGGAAGAGAAGGCGTGACAAGGGATAATCTTGAGACACCAAATACTGTATAATCTAATGTTTAACTACAATAACAAAACTAAATAGATTGAAAGATTCACTATAAGTACCTAGATATGGAGGTGTTGGAAGTTTGCATCTAGATGTTCCCAATACATATCAGATGAATTTTTTTATTTGGGACACATCGCGTGGCATTTCTAGCACTAAATTCACGTGTGCTGTTGCACCCCAAGAGAAAGTGTAATCATCATGTGCATGCTTATACAACAATTGAAAGATTCTCTATAAATATTTGGATATGAAGGAGTAGATATATCATTGTCTTTTTTTCTTAAAGTATAAGTGGTAAAGTTCAATTCCTTGAAACTACATAAACAGTTAAATTCAAAGAATTGGGGAGGGAAAAGGTTTTTTGATTTCATTATACAAAAGTATCCCTATTTATAGATCTATACAAGACATCTTAATAAAAAAATAAATAAATACGGATCATGCATAATTTCCCTTATATAATCCTTCCTAAATCAACCACCTAAATATGGAAGGAGATTGGCATGATCCTAGTGAGCCTCTCACGGATCCCCATCTTGACCTTGGGATCAAGAGCCAAGGAACTATTGGTATTTTAACACTCTCCCTCAAGCTGGGGAATACAAATTTGTTATTCCCAGCTTGGTAATTAGTCTCAAAAAGTAGAATTATCAAGTACCTTGGTGAGAATATCTACAAGCTAATCTTTTCATGGGACATGGTGGATACATATAAGACCACTGTCTAGTTGCTTCTTTTTAAAATGTCTGTCCACTTCTATGTGCTTCATCCTGTTATGCTAAAACGGATTGTGAGCTATGTTGATACCTAATTTTTTGTAACAATGTAGCTTCATGCGTCCTTTCCACTTGATCTTTAGATCTTCTAGAATCATCTTGATTCATATTAGCTCATATATTCTCAAGGTCATAGCTCTATATTATGCTTCTGCACTAGACCTTACTTCTCCATGTAATAAGATTTCCTCCAAGGAATGTGCAATATCCTGAGGTAGATTGTCTATCTATTGATGATTCTGCGTAATATGCATCAGTATATTTTTGGGTTATTCCACAGTCTCTTATGAAGAGAATCTCTTTACCTGGGTTCCCCTTAAGGTATTGCCTATGATGCATAGACATGGACACGGCAACACGGACACGTCACGACACGGACACGGGACACGTCAATTATTGAAAATATAGGATATGAGCATGGGTTGAATACAATATTATAGTTTTTATATTTTAAAAATAGTGTATAAAAATTGAATAAGTATAATTTTAAAAATAATTTAGAAATAATAAGTCATTTAACTAGAATTTCTGTTTAAAATGGTTAATTTTAGGATATCAAGAGTCGGGCGTCTATGTAGTTTATCAATCATCAAGAGAGGAGATGTCAAGAGTCTGGAATTGATGTTATGCAATAAATATTGGGCATCAATATTAAGAGGTTTATCGTCGATATTGAGAGGGTGGTTGATTTGGTGTTGTTGATAAGCTATGTTGCACCGATACGGATACGACATGATACGGATACGGGACACGCCAATTCTTAAAAATACAGGATACGGATATGGCGCGAATACGGCATTATAATATATAAATAATACATAAAAATTAATAAAGTAATCAAAGTGTAATATTTGAAATGACAAAAAAATTGAAATAAAAGTAAGCATTAAATATTGAAATGTCTAGTACAACAACAAAAACAAGAAGATAAATTGCCCAGCACATGAAATTCAACTATTCAATAGAAGGAATGATAGGATTAGCTTCTTCAGTGGTTTGTCTTTGAGTTTCTATATCATCTTCAATAAATATCATAGCTTCTAATTCAGGCTCATCAAGTGAAAGATTAGCAATTTCTAATATTCTCATATCCTCAAGAGATTCAAATCCATCTCTAGCAACATCCCACATCCTGTTGTCTCCTTCCATATAAGTTGGAGTTTTCCTTGAGAGAAATCGAAGGTTTGTATGCACGTAATCAGCAACATCCCATTTGTGATGAGCTTATCTTCAGGCAAACTTTGATTCCATGACCACTAATCTTCAACAAATGAGCTTTCACTCTATAATATGATCCTTTGTATGTTGCATTACAGAAATTGCATTTGAATGCAATATTGCCTCCCCCTTTTGATGTTTTACTTATTTTTGTAACATAACACCATAAAGGTTTGTTATCTTCAATATTAATTTCTGATGGACCATCATCAGAACCAATTCCTACTCTACTAGAGCTCATTATTCTACAAAGGATCTATACAAATTAAAACATATGAATTTGAAACATGAAAAAATTTAAGTGAAAGTGTAGATATGTTGCGACTCTGCCGGGGGTCCAACAGGGCGCTGTCCCCTATAAGGGTTCGACCAAGCAATATCGAGTTCCAATACCGAGCGGTACCGAGTTCAATGCCGAACGGTACCTGTTCCAGTTACCGCTCGTATTGAGCAGTACCGAGCAATACTAGTTCCAGTAACGTTCGGTATCAAGCGTACAAGTTTCGATACCGAGCCTATGATTAAGAAAACAAAGAACGACGAAGAAAACGAAACCTTCACTGCTCATGTCGCCTCACTGTTCACGTTGTCAAGCCGCTTCGTCGACGAAGATGATCCTATTGACTTTAATACCGCGTCTCAAGCCTCTTTGTCGACAAAGGATGATCCTGTTTGCTTCTCATGCTCGCGTCATCGAGCCACTCCTTCAACTATAACGAAGAACACTTGTGTGGAAACGAAAAATCTAGCTCTTTGAAATGTTTTAAGCCGCATAAATAAATATGGAATAGGTGGAAGGCTGAAAAGAATAGGGTTAAATCGTGGCTCCGTGTTTTTTTTTTAATAGGACACGCTATCCGATACGCGTGTCAGTCAAATTTAATTAATATTTTAATCAGACACAGCAAACCCGTATCTGTGCCATATCGGAGGCGTATCTCGTCACCACGTGCCCAACAGCCTGCTAGGAGTATCCGTGCAACATAGTTGATAAGAAATAAGAAGTTTAATTTTTATATTTTAAGTAAAAAATTTATACATGAAATTATATTTTAAAATCATAAAATATTTAAGATACCGTGCTCAATTTGTATTTAATATTTTTTTTTTTAAATTGGACACGTTTTTGTGTGTTTGCACGTGTCGGAGGAGTGTTGATGCGTGTCGTGTCGGATACAGTGTTGACACTGCACGCCTATTTAGGAAAAGTGTCGGTGCATCATAGGGTAGTGCAGTGTTCTGTTTATACCTTACACGATGTTTTAAAAATCGGACCAGACCGGCCGGTTCGACCTGTTCAACCATGAACGGTCACCACCGACCGATCGTTCAGTCTTAAAATCGCTTGTGCATCGAACCGGACTAAACCTGTCAGAACCATTGGTTCAACCAGCGAACTGGTGAACCGACCCGGTTATTTTGAACCGGCCGGTTCAAATCCCACAAATTTTAATTATTTTTAATAAATATAATAATATATATTATTTTAAATAAAATATATATATATATAATAACTTTAATTAAAGTTATAATACATTTTTTATTGTTAACAATGGCCTTCAAACCATCATGAAGCATCTTCACATAACCCCACCACTTCATTATTAGCAAAAAAGTGTTTCCAAGAGATGTGGGACTAAAAAAAAGGGTTGAGGTGTGCATGAGTCATAACATATATAATGCCTATAAAACCTATTTTTAAATAGATTTTTTAATTAATTATTTTTGATGTGAATGATAATTATTTATTAGTTAATAATAATTTTTTTATTTATACACTATTAAAAATAATTTATCATTAATAATTTTATCTATTTATTAATGATTTTAGATATAAATTTATAAAATAATTTTGATATACCACATAAACATGTAAGTTAATATAATAAGAAGAAATTTATATTAAAATTATAAACTTATGTTAGAATTAATTTATATTAAATATGTAACATAAATTAATAATAATTTATATTAAATTAATGTGGTTATGATGTAAATTTATAAATAAAAAATCAAATTTAAAATTTGAAAATATTTAAATTTAGAATATATATTTTTATTAGTGTAAATTCTTTATGATATGATATTAAATTTTTTTTTGCTTTTAATGTGAGATTTTAAAATAATTATTTTATTTAATTAAATAAGTTTTATGTTTTCATATTTTTTTAGTTTATTTTTTTGTCTCATACTTTGAATGATAACATTATTATTAAGTTATTTATTAAATTCATATAAATTCTATTTATTACATCATTCGCGGTTCGACCCCAGTTAAACCAGTCAAACCGTGAACCTCACCTTCTCCGATTCATTGTCAGGTCCGGTTTTCAGACCTTGAGCTTACATGTAATTCTGCTTTGGATTTTGCATGAATTGACTGACCGTGTTTACAGCAAACATTATATCTAGTGC